ATTTGATAATTTTTCATCCCCACAAAATGAGGCTGCGATTATCCTCTTATCTAAGACATACTTTGATATTTCGATTGCATGGTTGTTGCGGTGGCTGGAACCGGCTGCCGCGCAATGTGTAACGGGTTCGATTGCCGCACGGAGCAACTCTTTGTGTGATCCACAAATTATTGTTTCGGGTCCAGATCCGACATACATCACATCCAGATGTAATGTGTGTGTGTGTGTGTGTGTGTGAACACACCCACGACACAAGAGAAAATCCTTGTGAACGTCAATGCTTTAAAAAAAAATATTACTCAGGCAAAGGCATTCTAAAACTATTCCAGCAAAAGGTGATAATTATTGTGATAGCCATAGGTGAGTTGGTAACTAGATATCGACACTGCAGTCCTGACCTAAGAGCTTCGTAATTTGCTATCATAAAATATAATTAGTGCAACATTGTGGTATATATAATGCTCCTCATCTTTCCACAGCCTCTCTTCATTGAGGTATGTCAGTTATTTGAAATTAGAACTGTTTCTGATATTGTAATAAATAAAAATGGATTTGCGTTCGTTAGTCTCGCTAAAACTCGAGAACGGCTGAACTGTTTTGGCTAATTTTGGTCTTAAACTGTCGTGGAAGGCCAGGGAGGGTTTAAAAGGAGAGAAAAAATAACGGATCACCTGTGGTAGGCAATCACCGTCGCCCATGTACACCTGGAACACCAGAGGCGTTATAAGTCCATTACCGGATTTTTGGGGATTAGGAGTTTGAGGATCGTTAGGGATTCAGGGATTGGGGAGATTGGGGAAGGGGAAGGGATGGCCTCCGGTAACCTCACTCACACGACGAAACACAACGCAAGCGTTGTGTTTCGTCGTGTGAGTGAGGTGTCACGTCAGTTTTCTGTGAGGCCGTGGTATCACTCCGGTCGAGCCGGCCCATTCGTGCCGAAGGATGGCTCTCCCACACTTATTCTTAGATAATCTGTTATACTTACTTATATAGGGAAGATATCTACTTATGTATATCTTTTATCTTTCATCTTCGAATTTCTTTTACCTATAATTCCATAAAATGATTGGAGTGTAGTAAAGGGTGCGCAAGGGATTTGGGACTTAGAAGATTTATAACCAAAAATGAAATTTCTTATAAATGGCTAATTTTTTTTTATGGCATAAGCCGGTAAACGAGCAGACGGCATTACGAGTGCGTTACCGGCCTTTTGGGGATTAGGAGTTTGAGGATCGTTGGGGATTCAGGGATTGGGGAGATTGGGGAAGGGGAAGGGAAGGCCTCCGGTAACCTCACCCACACGACGAAACACAACGCAAGCGTTGCTTCACGTCGGTTTTCTGTGAGGCCGTGGTATCACTCCGGTCGAGCCGGCCCATTCGTGCCGAAGCATGGCTCTCCCACGCTTGAACTAGTTTTTCATTTCCATTTAAATACACAGGTAATCCACACAACTATTTAACGAGATTACTCGACTAGTTTCAAAACGAACTCTGGGTCTACAATCATAAACAGCATGCTCTGCAATGGTTTCCATTTACGAAACTAAGACTTATTTGAAGAGTAGGTACTTAAAAGATGTGACTGAGTTTGTTTACGTCTTGAATCAATAGTTGTGGGAAATTAAAGGAATAATACTAATAGATTGTGTACCTACTATCTATTTGAATGCATAATGTTGTTGAAGTAATTGACTATTTATAAGAATTATTGTAACAAATAAACCGATAAGTAGTTATTTGTGGAAGGATTGCTGGACGAGATATTTTTATTTTACTAGTACAATACATAATAGTGGAGAGGTGAGATTTGGTAGTATGTATACTGGCCGGATTTGGAAAATTCTTTCACCATAGGAAAGCTTAGGTACATTATAGGGAGTAACATATGGTTAATCTCAGTACTGGTGTCTATAAATTTTCTCCGCTGGTGGAAAGTCAATATACTTTACCTAGAATTCCAATAGGAATATTTATGTAAATAAATGTATAACATATAATATATTATAGGAGGTATTGAATATATCATTTAGTTTAGTTTAGTCAGTGATTATACTTAGAGTGACAATGTACTACGGTAGGAAGAGGATGCATTTTCTATTTGCGAATTTCGTGAAAAGGTAGGTACCTAGGTGCTTCTGTTATTTTCGGTTTGGTATATTAACGTTTGACTGTTTCGTTATAGTAAAGTGGTTACAAGTGAGATTACTTAGTAAGGGGGTCTCGGGTTCATCTTCTGTGATTTTACTAAAATTTTTATTTATCATCATCATCTCATATTATTTATTACCCTGATTATAGACGAGAGACGAAACGAACGACGACGAACGTTTACGAAAAAAACTAGCATGACGTTATCTCATTCAAGAATATTTCATGTTCATATCTGAAATATGTTAGTATAATCTTCTATTTTCTCAATTAAATCGTTGCTTGCTTCTTGCTCCTACCATTCACTCTTCTCTGCATCACCCAAAGGTACGACTGGGAGAAAATGCCTGCGGCATTCAGTCCACCTTGTGTACACTTTGTGCATGAAGCGTTAATAAATAAAATAAATATTAACTTACTCTTCTAGTAGCATAATTTCAAACTATTCGTTAAAAATGCAATGTGCAATGTCTAAATAATTTTATTTGAACTTCCCGAACACAAACATTTTTAAGAAAAATTTGCTCACACCGGCCACTGAACCATTGACCCTGACCAAAGACAGCGAGTTTACATTGTTACGTCAACTCGTACACATACATAATTATGTACATATATATCGTTATGTACTTAAGATTAGACAAGAAACTAGTGAGAAAGGTTAGGTAGTACTTTTCCGAAACAATTAACTTCTTCAACAGCTCATGAGAGCCCACTCCTGGACTACGGACCTCCTCTCCCTCATATTCTCCACGCCTTTCTTTTTTGACGACGAGGGGAAACCTTGCAAAGGCGCCTAGCTTTCTGGGGATAAAGACTAGGGAGAGTGGGATAATGTACCTTACTAAATAAAATCACCTCCGTGACCACCCACAGCACCTGTAAGGAGCGCCGGATCCTCTAAAAGAGAGGGGCGCCACAGCAGCCCCACGGTGCAACGCCTGTTACAGCAAATCCCTAGGCAGACGTACGTGCCCCTTGATCACCGCTTTGTACTCTCCACGCCTAGCCGGTTGGTCATCGCAGTTTAAAAGAATCAAGTTTACAAAAGAGTGTTTCTCTCAGCTCTCTGTTAAATAAGTCCCTTACAGCCGCAATAATTAACTGATTTCAATTAAAAATGTGTTTTTGAGATTTTTGAAAGAAACTCCATGAAATCAATGTTTAAAATCGATCCCTAGATACACACAATTAAGAGAAATACAGTTTAGATTAAGCTATTAGCTAGAGTACGTGTTCCCCGAAGGCTAAAATACTAATGGTATAACCCGTGTCTTCAAATCCCAAGTGAATTGGTGGTGCTTATGGTCAAACTTGCTCCATCATCTCCATTTTCAAAAACTGAGTAAATAGGTTTTATAAGGGTCGACAAACCTCATGTGTTGCAAGTGTACATAGGTCGCGGTAACCACTTACAATCAGGTAGGCCGTGTGATTTTCTTGCCATTGTCGTGGTATAAAAAATCGTAGGCGGCATCAACGCTTTCCACCAGGCGAAATGGAGAAACGCCGACCCATTTTATAGATAAAAAAAATGTAGTCGGCTCTTGTGACACCCGCGAGGAGAATAGAGGTGGTGAGAAATGTACTTTTAAAATCTGTCGTCATCACACGGCAATAATTAACTCAATTATTGCTATATTAATTGTCATGTTATTCATAAACAAACAATAAATCCATTATAAGTACGTAAGTAAGTAGATACTTTAATGATTATTTTGTCAATTGAATGGAAATGATTAAAAACATTGTAATTAATATAAAATTTAATTAGTTTTGTGGTAGTTTTAAGAGGGGTACTAGGTACTGTAATCATGAGTCTCGTCATAGGATAAAGAAGTACGTGGAATCTAAAGAAGTAGTTACCTAAGTACCGAAAGACCTGGAGCTGCGAAATCCCTAGCGGGTTACCAGGGTTGTCAATAAATTTCAACAATACAACAATTATTTATTAAGTAAACTGTTTGTATACATTTACCTATATGTGTGTGACGGAACTTTATCAAATTATTGTATTTCCGGATACATTATACGTGCTAACTATATTTTAACTTTCGTGAGTCTCGATTATTTTCAAGCGCTAGATGCGCTTATGAATATGAGTCCCTAGCGCGGCTTGAAACTAGTTGAGCTTCTCGTCAAACAGTTACGTGCGTAAACCGAAAAACAGTTAATGGACGAAATGTGTTCTACTTACCATTTCTAGTAATTAATAATTAATAGTGTTTGGTGATTACTAATTCCGGAAAGCCGTATAGTGACTTAATTATAGAGTCTCTTGTTACTTTAACAGTGACCATCATCGAACTGATATGCGTTTTATAACAATTTGATCAAGATGTAGTAACAAATATCTATGATTGTGAAACTGTCCTAGTTTTGAAAGATAATTTTACTACGATCGCCACCGATCTTCGATCCTTCACGGTCGTGGCTGTGTGTTACTGTGTTCATATCTATGTATAAAGGATATAAGACTTGTATTGTCACCTAGATGTGTAGTAGTCGTTTTAAGTGAAAAATATTGTTAAAAATGGGAGCTGTTAGAAAAATGTTTAATAAAAGGCAAGGTTAATTGTGCCCATATTCATTTTTATTGAAATTCATATATTTATTTGCATAGTGTTTTATATATTCTAACATAATTATAGTAGACTGATATAACTAATATAAGTATTCCAGTTGCAACGCTCTGTTGGCGGCAAGCTCAGAAAGTACTGAACGCATTTAGATGCAGTTTTTACAAGTGCATAGAATAGTTAGTGACGAAAGTTTCCATTGCTAGGTAAACTTTTGGGTGTGAAACTTAATTTTAATATATGTAATTATTAATTAGTGATTTGTGTTATTACAGGGACGAGAAAATGCGTCAGGTGATGATGTCGAATGTGGCTGCAAATCATCATGCACCGGTAATTGAGGCAGACCTGGAAGAAGCTTTAGAGTTAGCAGGTGAGTAGAGTCATGACTTGTTACTATTGTTAGATTTAAGAGTGCATCGTAAATACGTGGAGTACGGCCCCCACCCTCCCCAATCTCCCCGACCCCTGAATTCCCAAGAATAGACAAATTTCTAATCCCCAAAAGGCTGGTAATGCACGCCTCTGGGGTTCCGAGTGTCCATGGGCGACGTCGATCGCTTACTGTCAGGTGATCCGTCTGCTCGTTTACCGGCTTATTAGATAAAAAAAGGATGCTTGATACGTTCATCTATGAACTATGCGAAACTATGATATCTGCAAAGTGGATACGAAGATCGAACTGCTTTTAGAGAAGTTAGCGGCAGACAGCAGAGATTGGAAGAGCGAGTGGCTGCGATACAGGCACGACACGAAGTGTTGGTTGTTATTTTTTGCCAATCACACAATATATGTAGATAGCACTCATTTTTCTCAGCACAATTTTTAAATTAGACTTATAATAACTGTCCACGTTGCGTCATTTGACGAATGCATACTCTCATCAGAAACGACAGGAGGATCTAACTTTGCTGTTTAGTGGACAGTGTTCATTCTTTTTAAGCAAGATGCAAGTATATGTTATTTGTAGGCTACCTATTCTTTGTGAAGGATGGATGCATTCGTCAAATGACGCAACGTGGACAGTTATTATAAGTCTAATTTAAAAATTGTGCTGAGGAAAATGAGTGCTATCTACCTTGTATTGTGTGTCTTATCTTTAGTTAACAGGTTTTGATTGATGAAATTTTAATAATTAAAAGAACTTTAATTGTCCCTGTCTCTTTAATATTATGAGTAACGACGAGCCTATCTACAAACCTATTTAGGCCATAATTATGATAATTAGATAGTTGTTTACTTTCCTAAAACATCTGTCTTGTTCAATCAAAGAAACAATAGATAATATCATACTTATATTGAAGTACACTCACCTTATGTACTGTGTATGTGCTTTTCAATGTCTAAGTGCCTACTTATCTAATAGTTGTAATAAATTACTTTTACGTGTTGCCCTTAGTACGGCGATAGGAGCTATCTTTGACGGACACACTGTTCAGTACATACGTACTCGTGTTATTAAGATTAAGTATATAAACTAAACACAACGTTCACATTACAATGAGCTTATAAAAATATATTTCTAAATTTTAAATGGGCCAGATCCATTATATCCTAGTACTAGCTGTTCCTCGCGACTTCATCCGCGTATAATAATAACTTCTGGTAAATTTTTGATTTTTTAATTAGTATTCTCCAAGGTTATTGCAATGCTGTGTTACAAATTTCATCAGAATCATCCTAGTATAACAGAGGTTGAAAAATGTACTTTATTAAAATGAAATTTAGAAGACATGCAACATTTGTAGGTCCTTACATATTTTGGGGCGATTATTGCGTAGGTGATTCATGTATCTATGTGTATAAGGTTTGCAGATATTTATTTCTATGACCGTACCGACTTTATATTAGAGACAAAAAAATATAAAAATGTGTACTACGCCACGACGATAACCAGACACTCCTACCAGACACACAAAAGCAACACACACATCTAAAACATTGCTATATCAATTATTCCAGGCACGGGCAGATACCATGTAGTCCACAACTTGGTGATGCTGGCCACACTCTTCGCTTCCATCCTGGAGATGGTCGGCATTGCCTTCATACTGCCGGCTGCAGCTTGTGACCTGGATATACCTGATTATTTGAAGGGAATCCTCACTTCATTGCCAAATATAGGTAAGCTTTTTATCGTTAGTACTTCAAACGCCTGGCAAAACTTCAATAATTTTGATTGAAAGTTAATACAAGTAAATAGCTATGAAAAAAACAACTCAGGAACATACTAAATTAACTAAAAATGGCTAAGGTTCAAAACTAGTAGAGCTTTTCTCAGTATATTCACTTGAATAACCCGCGATTTTTAGTTAAGTCAGAAACATTCAAATTAGCTTGACTCCTTTTTAACCGACTTCCCAAAAAGGAGGAGGTTCTCAATTCGGCCGGTATGTTTTTGTTGGTTTTGTTTTTTCTACGTTTGATTAATCGTCGAGGTTTATCAACCGATTTAAGTGATGATTCTTTTGTTTGACGTGGAATAGCTGAAATTTGGTACCATAAAAATTTCTTTCAGATAAATAAAATTAATAACAATTTATATATTTTTTTTTTATTTGTACTCCCAATCTTTATACTTGTAATCCCAATCGTAGACAAAGTATCATATTTATACCTACTTTACACCAGCGTCGTGTGTGTGTGTGTGTGTGAGAGCCTTTTGCCATTTATAGGACACAATTCTTGAGTCCACATAACATCTATTGAAACATTACCTTCATCAATTCCAGGTATAATACTAACAGCTCCGTTCTGGGGCCGTGCAGCAGACTCTCTGGGCAGGAAGCCAGTACTCCTCGGCTCTCTGATAGTGTCTGGAGTCACCGCCTTCATCGCAGCATTCATGCCTTCACTGATCACCTTCGCACTGTTCAAGCTCGCTTCTTCACTGTTGTAAGTATTGTGAAGCATTATTTATTACTTAATTGTAAATAAACTTAAAGGCATCCGAAATATGTATATGGATTTCTAGGCTTTAGATTTGATCAACCATTGTTACGTTTTTATTCGTCATTAAGGCATTTACTAGTCAGAAGTAAGTTCTGTTGTCCGCTAAATTATTTGATGATATCAAACCATTAGACATTTAGGTGTGGGAGAGCCATGCTTTGGCACGAATGGGCCGGCTCGACCGAAACCACGGCCGTGCAGAAAACCAACGTGAAACAACCTTTGCATTGTGTTTCGTCGTGTAAGAGAGGTTATCGGTGGCCCGATTATTCCCCCATCCTTCCCCAATCACACCAATCCCTGAATTTCCAACATTCCTTAAATTCCTGGTCCCCAAGAGGCCGGTAACGCAATTGTCAGCTCTGGTGTTCCAGGTGTCCATGGGCGCAACGATTGCTTACCATCAGGTGATCCGTCTGCTCGTATATTGGATTATTCCATAAAAAAATTATGTCTGTATTGATTAAACAATGGACTTTTAAGGACCAGATACTTCTAATATTAGGATTCAATATTTTTATATGAGTACATATTTTGCTCAAGCAATAGGTTTATTAAAACTACAAATGACTCCATTCAAATACCTAAAATATAATTACCTCTTTTTTCAGCCTCTCCTGCCCATCATCTTTGGGCTACGCGTACGTTTCCGAGATGTTGCCACGCAAACGACGAGACTTTGCAGTTCTAGTTACAAACGGACTCATCAATTTATTGACGGTCTTGAGCCCTGGTAAGATTTTCCAAACTGCTTAAGTGCCCCTATAACCTCTGTAACTGTTTTTCACAATATTATGTTTTGCACTACTTCTTAGATAGGTAGGTACACGAAAAATAGCTTTTTCTAATTTACTACATAGTATAAAACAAAGCCGCTATCCACCGTCGTCTGTCCCTATGTATGCTTAGATCTTTAGAACTACGCAATGAATTTTGATGCGATTTTTTCAATAGATAGAGGGATTCTTAAGGAAGGTTTATATCACATACATGCATATTGCACCCGTGCGAAGCCGGGGAGTGTCGCTTGTTTCCGATAAAACAACTAATTATCATGAAGACTGCATTCAAACTTTTCAATTACTATTCACGCTTACTATCCATAATCACCGACAAATTCTTCGATTCCAGGTTTAGCTTGGATAATTCTGTCGTACGACTGGGAGTACCAGTTCGGAGCCATAGACCTTCGACCATGGCGGCTGCTGACAGCGGTGTATGCCTTCCCACTACTGCTTGCTGCACTATGCCTGATTGTTGCTGATGAGAGCCCCAAGTTCCTCATGACGAAAGGAAAGGATAAGGAGGCTTTGGCAATCGTTAGGAAGATCTACTGCACGAACTCTGGGTTACATGAAGATAGCTTTTGTGTGAGTAGATAATTTCTTTTTGATTGCTTTAGAAGATAAGTTATTTTATTGGTGATTTTTGTTAAGAAGGAATCTGGTATTGTTCCCGGTATATAGACTCACTTCCTATTACATGGGACTCATAACATAAATAGTGAAAAGTGGGTGTTACATTGTACAGTGGCATTAAGTGTCGTAATGTGCACTTCTACCTGTCCCTTCGGGGACAAGAGACGTGGCCAAGAATCGAACTAGAGACACCTTGTCCAGTATTATCGCTTGCGGCCACTTGCCTTTAGAGGAATGCAAGTGAGACCCGATCGTAATCCAATCAGAACAATAATTTAACCAATATCTTTATATATTCCAGGTAAAATCACTAAAGATACCATGTGACATCAATGACTCCGAGCAGCGCGGTTCTGGCTGTGCGCTTGCGCCGAAGACACAATCCGAGTCTGCGTTTGCGCTACTTCGGCCTCCGCATTTAAAGTGGTTCGCGCTCACTGGGTTCCTCATGTTCGGCCTGTTCTCATTGTAAGCAACTTCATTTTTAAAAGTTATTTTTTTTTTAATTAAATTGTTTATTGTAACAAAAACATTAGACACGCAGTTTATGAATACTAACATCTAAAATGTCGTGGTGGCCCGGAGGTTTAAGACGCCCACTTCTCATGCATGAGGGTGCGGGATCGAAACCTACCAACGGCAAGTTCCAATGTGACTTTTTCCTAGTTATATGTACTTTCTAAGATTATTTAGACTGACCATTAACAAACGGTGAAGGAAAAACATCGTGAGGAAACCTGGACTTATAATTTCTAATTGTAAGTTTGAAATCACCAACCCGCATTCAGCAAGCGTGGTGATTAATGCTCAAACCTTCTCCGTGTGAGAAGAGGCTTTGCTCAGCAGTGGGCATTTATAGGCTGTTGATGATGATGAACATCTAAACTAGGCCGTGCCTCTATCTTAGATGTTAATAAGTTTGTTTGGTCCTGTTGTTTTAAAGTTTTCCACTTTTACCAGAAGGTAAAGATATAAATTATTCAGGGTTTGAGATTAACTATTTGACTACTAAACACTTTGAAACTGACGATTAAGAGGTCTCAAGTTTTGAGTCCCGGGAAGCCAGGATCGACCAAATTCGTAAAAGTAGTAGTAGTGGTAAAAGCCCGCCATTGTATACACATTTGTACATATATTATGGGTATCGACTGCCTCATTGGCCGAGTGGTCGTAAGTGCGACTGCCGGGCAAGGGGTCTCGGGTTCGATTCCCGGGTCGGGCAAAGTAATACTGAATTTTTAAAATAATTCTCAGTAGTAGCACGAGGTCTGGAATTGTGCCCGGCATATGGCAATAGGCTCACCCCTATTCCATGGGACTCATAACATAAATAATGATGTGGGTGTTACATTGTACAGTGGCATAATGTAACCTTTGCCTTTGATAAAAGGCGTGATGTTATGTTATGTAAGGTTTATGTCGGTTTTCGGAATTCCCAGTAACTGCAGTCGAGTCTGGAAATGTCTTATGTGGCCGATTCTATCTCAATTATAAATGGGACTTAGTTACCTATACCTATTATAACTCTAACGGTATCGACCCAAAAGTATTGTATTCTTTACTTTATGTGTTTTCTAATAGAGTGTAAAATGTTTTGGAGCATTTTGGCAGATTGATGTAGGTTGATGAGTGACAACCCTCTTTAACCCCTCGGAGGTTAAAAGGTGTGATGTTGTTAGAAAACGCACTTTGGTAATAATAGTTGTAATCATGTCTATACAGGTCTATTTTTAAATTCGTTATCTGTGGTAGACGATACGTCATAAACAGCATAACATAATAATACGCGTGTAATTCCCCAATAACTGAAGAAGTAAACGCATGATGTACATTTTGAATGTTGATTACAATCTTTATACAATCTTTTCTTTACTAATATTATAAATCGGAAAGTGAGTTTGTTTGTTTGTTCCGCTTTTACGCCGTAACTACTAAACCGATTGCTTTAAATTTTTGCAGACGTAAAGTTAGAAGTCCGTATTAAATAATAGGGTACTTTTTATACCGGAAAAGTTTGATATTCCCGAGGGAAAACAAAAGCATTGGTAGAGATGGCGCTGTGTGTATTGGTACATGTCACATAGACTACTTTTATCCTTTTGTGACGCGAGCGAAGCCGCGGGTTTAAGCTAGTTTGATAATAAACAGGAAATTGAGTGGTTTTTAGAAAATGCACCTCAAACTATAATGGCCATGCCACAGAAATATTTATATCCATGGTGTGTGTAATATTAGTTTTATGGAGTTGTGCCTTCACCGGTTTTGCATACATTTTTGACTCCACACCGTATCTCCTTCTTTATTATATCTATGGGCCATGCCATAATTAGATGTTATCGTAGGTACTATATCTACATATACACGATGCATCCATGTTTGTTTGTTATACCTGCTCTCTATTGATTTTCGAACCATCTATTTCGATTATGTTCCAGTTGCAAACTGCTCGTGTTTCTATCTAATATACAAAACTTAAATGGACCAGTTAATACTTTTTTCCATATTATTAACTTTAAGTCAAGAAAGTACAATAGCAGCTCATATATTTTTCTATCCACTTGAGACTTTTCAAAGTCAAGTTAAAGTTAAAGTAAAAATCATTTATTTCAATTAGACCAGAAAGGCACTTTTGAACGTCCACGTGACGACGTTCAAAAGTGTTTTCCTTGTTATATTATTCCCGACTATTAGTACATGCGCTTGTACCTATAAAACTATGTCGTACTCATTCATGATCATTTATTTTTGAGAAACGAAATTCAGTCACTTTTAAGCTCTAACTGCGTACTCGGAGACATTAAATAGTTACTTAACCCAGCCGTTAACGATCTCCGGCCACCGTAAGCGCGGGCCTGCGGACGGCGAGCATGGGTGGCTCCCCGTCCGACCAGAAACAGTACGGCGCGCGCCTCAAAGAGCCATCAGACTACCACAGATGGGGCCCAATAGGGCCGATGCCGATTCGGAGTCGCGGAGAACCTAACGGGTAACCGGGGCTCCGGCTCGACGTGCAGGAGAAGGAATGGGGTGGTTTTTAATCAGTAAGAGTCTGACACTCTCTCCCTCCTCACCCAGGCGGGAGCAGTCATTCGATGACTTTCCGCCCTAAAAAAAAACCCAGCCGTTAGCAATTGTTTTCGGAACAAAATCTATACTAAAGAACATTTTCAAGTCATCCTCAAGTCTCGGAGTATGGCAGTAAGACGTCCCTTTCGCAGTGGAAACCGGGCTAAGACTAAAATTTTCGTAATTTGTTTCAGCTTAAATGGTTTGTTCCTCTTCGCGCCAGACACAATCAATAAAGTGATGAACAGCAATGAAACGAGCGGCACAGTCTGCGAACTTATGGACATGTCGGACAACTCTGTACGTATCTTGAAACTTTATACTAGAATCTGTTAAGGTTGAATTTTAGTTATGCTTGATTGACACAAAACATATAACAGAGAAAAAGAAGCGTGAGACATACTAAATAAATAATTATGTTTTCGGCTTACTCATGTACTTATTTGACGAGGCACTTGACTAGTTTCAAGCCATGCTAGAATGCATGGCTCATGTTCATGAGCAGCATTTCATGACCTGCGACGCGGCGACTGCCGCGCTGCTACTCTGTAGTAGCAGCGCCGAAATATGTTACATGTTACATATAATATGATCAATCAATGATGCATAAAGATAAAATAGCTCAAAGTAGATAAAATACTATTTATAGGGGAAAAACAGCTTAACTTCGTTTAGCTTACATTAACTTGGCATAATTAGGAATTTTCATACAGAAATTCAATACAAATTATATTCGAATCTATATTACAACTAATTCTTAATTTAATTATTATTTTTCGGCTTACTTCTGTAACTATTTGACAAGGAACTCGACTAGTTTCATAATAAAACAATCATTGTTATTAAACACACTTAAAATTAAAATATACCACGGCCCTCGTCCACCATGCACATACTTACTTACTTATAAGCTAGAATAATCACTCCAAGATAGCAAAAAGGCAAAAGTTCCCAAGCGACAGTTGTGTAACAGAAACCAGATTCATATTTCAGATTTTCTCACAATTTTACTTCTTTTCTTCTTTACGGTTCTTGACTAATGTCACTTCACTAGACAGTGGTTCTAACAACCACTTGACGAATAAGGCAGTTCACAGAAGGAGAAGACAGTAAACAAGTTTTTATTTCTTCTTACAGACATCATCAACAGAATGCCTAGACTCGATGTCGTACCACACGTTCTACATCATGGTGGTGACGACCATCGTGTACGGGGTGCTGGTCACCGCCGGCAGCATGAGCCCGCTGTCCAAGAAGACACTCCTCGTCTCCATGTTCTGTGTGGTTGGAGTCGGTTGCCTGATTGCTGGGCTGTCCACTAATAGGTAGGGGAACCTATACCTCTAATATTGTATAAATATGAAATTAAAAGAAATAATTGCAAATATCATCGACGGTGGTACACATTTTACGAGATTGTTTAGGACAATTCTATTAACGGTAAAATGTGGTGAATAGGGATAGAAAAGGGGTGAACCGATACTATGAAGAATTTCCCAATATCTATTCACCCCTCTTCTGTCTCTATTCACTTCTCGATCTGTACCCACTACTATTTTACGGTACTAAACAATAAAAAACTTCGATATAAAACTTAAATATTTTGTAGATCCCAAAGATTTCCCGAAACCTACCCAGAGATGCCTATTTGTGGGTATAAAAAAATAATTGTGAGTTTCTCCAACATTTGAAATACTTGTTAGCTTTAGGGTGAGTTGCGCTACAAGTCTAAACTTTAATAATAAGTATTCGATCTGTTCACAGAATCTTGGCCGGAGTGGCTATGTCATCCTTGCAGCTGACAGCACTCGGCATCGGACCCCTCACAGCATACGTGGTTCAGCTCTTCCCCACCGCGCTCAGGTAAACATTTTTCCAAAAAAATCATTACAAAAGAAATGGCTGAGTATTTGCAATCTTTAAACTACTCATTTTGCCCCTATATTTCCTGTCTCCTATTTACAAACAATGATTGGAATAACAATCTAAAGATTGGAAAATGAATTTATTGTTCCATGCGAAAATGGCACTCGGGGCACGTTACATAATCATCCTGTTATTGCTGCAGCTGAACGTCAAAAGAACAGGTGTTAAAATCCAGATCCCAGATTATCTGGCTGGGCAGTTATTGTGGAAGATGAGTAAATCGCTCATAAATTGTACGACATATTGTTATAACATACGTAATACAGTACAAACAACAGTAGGCAGGTTTATAATCTTAGTATCATCAGACTCAGACCATTGCCGGTTTTCCCCACTTGTTCGTCGCCGGCATCGAATGCTAGTTACACTACAAAGCCTAAGCAAATATTTTGCCGTCACCGCAACAAACTAAAGGTGAAGCCACAATAATGCTTTGCTACGCCCGCGCCGCTCCGCTAAATACAACGTCGACACAATGCGATGACTTTTTTCTTGTTCTTTCTAGTAACTAGCTTTTTCCCAAATATTTTTTAGGTATTTGGGGTCTTTAACAGATTTGGCTGAATGTCAATGTTTTACGTATAATATTTTGCCCGACAAGATGCTAATCATGTCTTAAATACTATCGATTCACTTTTATAAGTACGAAGCGGCTGTTATGCGGTACGCGGCATTGAAAATTTTTGCGGTGTGGTCGTCGCTGCGTAGTGTTGTGGCCTGACCCTTACCCAGGGTTTTCAAGAAAACATATTAATAACACGTACTTATAATCCCTTATTATGATATCACAAATATATTATAATATACCTACGTATAATGAATAACAACTGATGACAAATAGATTAACTATATTTGGCTATAGGAAGTCGGTGGGTTATCTTTATTAGTATCTAAAAATTTCCAATCGTTCGCAAAAATAACAAGTCTTCGTTGCTATGTAGCACGTATATGATATTGTCAATAGATTAATCTGTTTAATATCGCTGTCATAAAATCGAAGTCAATGGAATATTTTAAAGTGAAAAGTATAGTCGACAACGCCGTTTTGAAGACTCGGTTGCCAAAGAAGAAAAAAAAAGTGCGACCAATTATTTACGTCATAATCGTTTACTGCAATTAGTTAAATACTTGCATTCACAGTTCCATTCCTGCATGGCATAACTAATTGTGTGAACCACAGATATTTTCTTCTGGGACTGCGTAAACATATACATATACGTTTGTTTATCTTACTAGTACCTTGACATTAATTGACTCTAACTAAAGTGACAAATAAATAAATCTGAAGCTCTCATAAAGCTGTAAAACTTTCAAGGCCGAGAATCACAGAAACGTGAATTTAAATTGAATTCGTTAAATGTTGGCTGTCTTGCATCTATTCTAGCAAACCTCACTTCATCAGTAGCTATTGCCCTATATAAGATGTTCATTCATCAGTGATACTATGAACGATTTAATTAATCATGTTAAATGTAAATATCTTCTGACGGGGTTGATACGTTCCTGAACAAAAAGTCCCTAAAAATAAATATTAAAATAAGTATGTAAAGCATTAATCACCAAGCCCGCTCATGACGGATTGGTAATTTCAATATGAAGCATTATTAGGACAATATTATAAGATACGATATTTTAAGACATGATCACCAGAAAAATGATGCCAGTCATTGCTGTATTAAAATTTCAGATAGTAATGATCCAATTTATGTCCACAGGGGTACGGCAGTAGGCGCAGTGTTGATGTTCGGGCGGCTGGGCTCCGTGGTCGGCGCTAACGCAGCCGGTGTATCCCTCAGCGCAGCTTGCACTCTCACATTCTATGGATTCGCTTTTCTAGTCTTTTGTAAGTACATAATTTTTTTTAATATTTGAAGACCATGACCTTTGCTAGGGTTTTATTTTACGTCTTCGGTTATACAAAAATAAATGCTTCTTTTATAAAGTGTCCAAAAAGTTATCATTAGCTTGATCTTGAACTGTTGACACTAGATATTATATTTTGTAATACAACATACATTAGAGTTGATATACCGAATTATATGTACAACTGGTCCCTGTACGATAGAGACCAAGTTGCAAATAATTTATTGTAATGCAGCTATTACCAACACAATGTCTTTTGATCCCGGAATGTAATATGAGGTTAAAGGTGAGCCTATGATCACACTCTAGAAGTCTAGACACTGTTTCTTCCGGACGTCGGGGATTGCGAGACGATCTCCGGCCACCGTAAGCGCGGGCCTGCGACGGCGAGCATTGGTGGCTCGCCGCCCGACCAGAACCAGATCCGAGCGTACGGCGCGTCGCGATCCGCGCGCGTCTCAAAGAGCCATCAGACCACCACGGATGGGACCGATCAGGGCTGATGCCTATTCGGAGTCGCGGAGAACCTAACGGGTCACCGGGGCTCCGGCTTGAAGCGCAGGAGAAAGAACGGGGTGGTTTTGAGTCAGTAAGAGTCTGACACTCCCTCCCGCCTCACCTAGGCGGAAGCAGTCATTCGATGATTTTCCACCCTTAAAAAAAAGACTGTTTCTGGAGTTCGTCCTTAATCGTAAAATTTATCATTATTCATATTCAAAAGAATGCCTGCCTCGTTGGCCGAGTGGTCGCAAGTGCGACTGCCGAGCATCGTCTCGGGTTCGATTCCCGGGTCGGGCAAAGTATTACTGGGTTTTTTTTTAATTCTCAGTAGAAGCACGGGGTCTAGAAATGTGCCCGGTATATGGCAATAGGCTCACCCCCTATTACATGGGACTCATAACTTAAATAGTGAAAAGTAGGAGTTACGTTGTAAAATATGGCATTAAGTGCCGTAGGTAATGTGCACCTCTGCCTACCCCTTCCGGAAACGTGAAGTTATGTTATGAACAATTAAACAGATAGAACTAATTTGTAATATAATAATAAATTAGTTCAATATAAGTACCAAGTAATAATAAAGTAGGTTTATCTAAAGCCCACAAAGCCAGGACACAGATAACGGCCTCCCGCACTTTTAGGAGCTGATCTTATTATAACACGACTATTATAAACGTTATCACATAATTTTATGTACTACAGGATTATATTTTTACACTGATTATATATTTTGACATAGATAAATCATATCAGGATGTTTTTAAGAAGTTCTTTGGAAAGTTACTGGATTAGTGTTTGACATTTTTACAGGCGGAAATGCAACGTGTCTAATGTTACTTTTACATAACATATCATACACCTTTTATCCCCGAAGGGGTAGGCAGAGGTGTACATTATGCCACTGAACAATGTAACACCCACTTTTCACTATTTATGTTATGAGTCCCATGTAATTGGGGGTGAGCCTATTGCCATATACCAGGCACAATTCCAGACTCCGTTCTACTACTGTAAATTTTTTGAAAAACCCATTAATATTTTGCCCGACCTGAGAACGAAGTCGATCCTGAGACCCCTTGCCGGACCATTCGCACATGGTCGATATATGGCAATAGGCTCACCCCCTATTACATGAGACTCATTAACATAAATAGTGAAATGTGAAAAATGATACGGTCTACGATGGAGCACGTCGTCCTATAAGCATCCTATTCACTCGGGCCTTGAAGATTCCCAGGTACCCTTTAGGAAATATAGACTCTGACTCTGGTAACGTTTCTTTGGGGAAGAAAAGGTCAAAGATTTATTCTGATTAAATGGCATCTCCCCATGTTTGACTGTTAGAGAATGCCACCCGGTATTAAGTTCGCCATCGTATGATCGTATGTATACAGAAGTGTAAATAAATAGTTTAATTAACCTATTTGTTTTTGTCCACAGTCTGTGCGGGCCTCAGCTTTCTCCTACCTTCAGCAGACCAAACGACGAAGCCACAGGAAGCAGGCGCAGACAGCTGATAAATATAATTGATAATTATATTTTATTTATATGCAATACTAGTTCTACAAACGTCAGCACATCAAGCTTACCCAACACCTTAAAATATATGACAGATATACAACCTTATAGTTGTGGGATAAAGTTGAAAATCTATTAAAGCTTGGGGTAACTTGATGTGCTAGATACTATACCTTTTATACTTTTTATATTTGTACCACCTTTTGATAGTTGCCTTATTTTAGGTGTATAGATAAATAATATCTCGTTTCATGAAGAAGTATCAGCCTAAATGACAGAATTCGTACGATAGAAACGTTACTACGTTCGACACTCTCATTGGGCTGCCACAATGAATCAACCAATCAGAGGGCTTTAGTACGAGTTTGTTCTATGTATCAAGTAATCGAAATGAGACTGCGTTCTGCGCTGTAATTGGTTAGTTCATTGAAGCCGGCCAATCAGAGCACCGAACGAGGTCTCGTTCGTTTACTTTAAAAGTAAAACGAACTCTACTAAGCCCTAAGAAGTGTTTACAGTCTCGACTTAAAATAATCGATAGAAATAGCACTTTTATGAATGTTCCTTTTACATTTGGCAATTAGTCCACTGTCAATTGTAAGTAGGGTAGAAAAGCCGGGGCTTACAGATGGTTTTGTAAAATAAAAAAAGAGGAAAGAGAGGTAAGAACTACCAATTTTTACTTTGTAGGTAAAGAATGCTTTAGTTCTGAACGAAGCCTGAACATTTTTTCACAATTTTATTTATTAAGTTAATGTTACAAAATAATGACAATCGATATACAAAGTAAGAAATAAAAAAGATTGACTGTAGTTTTCTTTTGTTTTACTCTATAATATTTTTTGTCAGTCAACAGTGCCTTTAGTTAGCCAAACGCCACTTTAGCGTTTGGCTACAGAGAGAGTAGAAATCAAAATGTATGGGGATGATACTGACAAGTGTCACAATTTTACGTCAATTCTATATAATTTAGTTTTGTATTCTACAAGTAGACAAGCGCTAAATGGCATTTGGTTACAGCTGCAGGAGGGATTGTTATGAAAATCATTATTTATTGTTATGGAGTATAAAAAATGAAATCTTTTTTGAACAAGAACACGCGGAACTTAAACAATGATACTGAGGCAGATAGAGAAAGAGGGAAGTAAGTACGTTTTTTTTTTTTATTATTTAATTTTTTTTAAGGGGGGAAAATCATCGAATGACTGCTCCCGCCTGGGTGAGGCGGAAGGGAGTGTCAGACTCTTACTGACTAAAAACCACCCCGTTCCTTCTCCTGCACGTCGAGCCGGAGCCCCGGTTACCCGTTAGGTTCTCCGCGACTCCGAATCGGCATCGGCCCTATTGGGCCCCATCTGTGGTGGTCTGATGGCTCTTTGAGGCGCGCGCGGAACGCGACGCGCCGTACGCTCGGGTCTGTTTCTGGTCGGACGGGGAGTCACCCATGCTCGCCGTCCGCAGGCCCGCGCTTACGGTGGCCGGAGATCGTCCCGCGATCCCCGACGCCCGGTGTGTCCTTCGTGATGGCTGGGTTGCGAGGAGGCAGCGCTTCGCTGCCTCACGCGTCCCGCCTCCTCCTTAGCTAGCATGACTGCTTCGCAAAAGGAGGAGACGGCATCCCAGTCCCCCTCGCTCCGCATCATGGCCTGCACTAGGCCCGGACGCGAGAGGTCGCCATCGCCGATCACTTCCCTGAGGGCACGGCGGTGCTCAGCCCACGCAGGGCATTCTCCCACTGTGTGTTCCACCGTGTCCTCAGGGCGGTCCTCGCAGTGATGACACCCGGGGGATTATAGTACTGAAGTGTCACCGTGGTTGTATTTACGGCTCCTGTTAATAAAAAATATTTTCTAAGGAATTAGCGCAAAAGAAAGGAAGAAAGAAAGTGTATGGTCGTTCTGTATTATGTGTTTTACATAATAAAAATACGTCTTGTGTGATTGACGGCTGCAATTCACATTTAGGAAGAAAAGAAAACAATGCTGAAATAATTCACTTTCATTCGTAAGTTTTTGATATGTTTTAAAATAAATTATACTGGAAATACTGGTAAACTATAAATAAATGTTACTTATTTACTGTCGTACTTTTCAATTGTAAGCCTAAACAGTATTATTCCATCTTTTCCTAAAAAATCTAAATCAATTTTCTAAGTTAGTTTTTAAGCTAGTGATGTGGTCATGTTACATATCGATATTTTAGTTAGGCTTTGAAGTTCTTTATAGTATAGACGTCGTTTAGAGCCCGAATCACATGATACTTTTGATGATTTGACAGAATACGACTACTTTTTGTATCCATCATCTATTACGGGATATTCTAAAAATGTCATAGAATACATAATCGGCTTTATCGGAATGAAATTAAAAAATCTTTACAATGCGAAAAATGCATAGAAACTCTTGAGAACACGGAGAGTATTCCTTAAAGATCTTTGATATCTTTAAATATAGAGGAGGCCTATTTAAACCAACATATGGCTTAAACAAGATCTGTCAACTGTCTGAAAAAATTATAAGACAATATCAAGTGCATATTGATTCAAAATCTCTCGGTAAACCAAAATAATTATTAGATTGATTAATAAAGTTTCAGCAAATGTGTTGCCGTCTTTCTATGATGATCACAGAAATCTTATAAAGTCCATAGCACAAAAATATTTTAAACTTAGGATATTATTACATTATATAACTAAAAATTTGACTGTACCTACCGAAAAACTTCGCACATATTTAACAAAGACAATTATATTTAAAAGTCAATGATAAACATATAATAGTACACCACTACCACGGTTTGTAAATATGCTTTGTTTGTGAGCAATTAAATTATCTTTTTAATATTGTGTTTTATTTCTGAACCCACGACATCCAGATTAAGAACCTAATGTACGTTAAACTACAGCAGCAATACTTTCAGGTATTATAATTTGTCGATAAAATATATTAATTTATTCCATCACTAGCATATTTACAAGTAGTGACAACCTGCATAATAACGAAACGAAACAATACACATGTCTCTTTCTTATACACTATCAATACCATAAGTAAAAAAAAGATGAATATATGGATTGTAGTTGTTATTTTAGCCTGGCTTCCATGCTTTAGTTATTGTTCCGAGAGCTGGAGGGATCGAGATGAAATTTGGAACGGAGGTAGATTTTTTTTTATGGCACATGCCGTAAACTGGTAGACGGATCACCTGATGGTAAGCAATCGGCGTCGCCCATGGACACCTAGAACACCAAAAGCGTTACAAGTGCGTTACCGGCCTTTTGGGGATTAGGAGTTTGAGGATTGTTGGGGATTCGGGGATTGAGGAGATTGGGGAAGGGGAGAGGGAGCTGGGCCTCTGGTTACCTCACTCACACGACGAAACACAACGCAAGCGTTGTTTCACATCGGTTTTCTGTGAAGCCGTGGTATCACTCCGGTCGAGCCGGCCCATTTGTGCCGAAGCATGGTTCTCCCACACTTAAAGATTATGGTCTGAAATAAACACATAGGCTACTTTTTATACAACGGAAACGCGGGCAAAGTCGCTAGCAGTAGCTAGTGTAGTACCTACCTACATATATTTGATGAAAATAATGAATTTATTTCAGGAGTTCTGAATGCGATATGTTACAATCATTATGCAGTAGGCACAGATAAACAAAAGGTACATAAACTATCGACCTACAAACTACGAACCACAATCAATTGTTTTGCTAGGACCGATTCATTCATAAAACAAGCATAATATTCGATGTCAACTTTAGATGTCCGATTGCTTTACAAAATGGCATCAATCTGTGCATTTTCAAAAACATTTTTTATTCAAAATCTATGTAAAATAGACATTTTTAGTCAATTAGTAAAGGACCAGTAAGTTTATATACAGAGGGGACTATCCTTAAATGGAAACTACGTCAGTCTTTAGAACAGATGACGTAAGGTGGTGGTTACAGAAGTGGTTGGTTGCGAAAATATAATTTTGGGGGGCAACATGTCATAGACTTATGTCCAGCCATGGACCTTATGGATACTGAAACTCAATTTTAAATTGTACTTGAATATCGTGCCGTCTCTGTCATTTTACATTTAATTTGTAGTGACAGAACTATACTTAAGCGCGACATAAATTTTTTTTTTGGAAAAAACTTTGCCCCACACTAGGATTTTCTCCTGTGTCGTGGGTGCGTTTACAAACTTACAAGTTCACATACACATGACACTCAGACCCGGAACAGCAATTTGTGGATCACACACAGAGTGGTTCCGTGCGGGAATCGAACCCGCGACACGTTGCGTGGCAGTCAGTTGCCCAACCACCGCGCCAACTGTGCAGTCAAAATTGAGATTTTGGACATTACAATCTAATGTGATGAATATTACAGTGGTATATTTGTAAGTCTAATAACTATCGATTGATTTTTAATTATTAAAAGTCTACTTTAGTCTTATTTGAAATGGGATAATTTAATGAGCAATGTTTTGTTTTCTGGTTCTGGAAAATTAATGAAATACCTAAGTAGGTATATTAACAGATTCTTAAATACTTTAACATGCGCGTGCTCACATTGTACTTAGTGGTTCTTATCGTTACTTTTTAATTTTATTATTTCGTGATTTATATGCAACTCGTGAGTTGTTTGTCCCCTGTGTCTTAGTGTGGGTACAATATTTTTACTATGTTTACATTTACTTATACCTACACAATATTCTTCAAATTCTATATAAGTTTGTGATGTGCCAGAAAACCACGGTTTTACAGATTTGGAAAGCATGTAGGTTATTGTAAAGATCATGTAAAGATTAGTCAAATCTATGAAATTTTATAGTTGGTAGTTTTCTCGAAGATTTGATTGTAATTCCGAGTTTCAGCATGAGAACCCTTCAAGATTTTCCATCCTGTGTTTTATAAAAGTTACAATCAAGTAACAATGCTTGGAACTGACACACTTTACAAGCACGGCTCTGGCACGACTTCGGCACGGTTACGTCACAGCATAATTTGCCTCAGAAACAGTACAAAAAGTCTGTAAACGCGCTGTCGGTGCGCTTACACCTTTTTTGTATTGACGTTATAAAATATGTCATATAACATAAGATTTAATGTAAAGTTAATTGCTGGGTTTTTTTAAGGGGGAATGTCATGTAATGACTTGGTCGCCTGGGTGAGGCGGGATCCCTCCCGCCTCACCCAGGCGGGAGAAGTCAGACTTAGTGTCAGACTCTTACTGACTAAAAGCCACCCCGTTCCTACTCCTGCACTTCGAGCCGTATCAACATCAGCGCTATTGGCCCCATCCGTGGTGGCAGCAGCAGCACGCAGCGCTTCGCTGCCTCATGCGCCCCGCCTCCTCCTTAGCTAACATAATTGCTTCGCAAAAGGAGGCAACGGCATCCCAGTCCCCCTCGCTCCACATCATGAATTCATGACCCGCACTAGGGCCGGACGCGAGAGGTCGCCGTCGCCGATCACATCCCTGAGGGCACGGCGGTGCTCAGCCCACGCAGGGCCCCTACTGTGTGTTCCACCGTGTCCTCAGGGCGGTCCTCGCAGTGATGACACCCTGGCGTTTCCTCCCACCCTATCAGACACAGGTACCTCCCGAAGCTCCCATGTCCGGATGGCAGCGATCCCAGCCCTTGGTTGCGACTGTCGTTGCTTTCATTCCGCCATGATATCGCGCCGGAGCTCTTCCCGCCACGCACTAATCTGGCGCGGCAGTAATTGCTGGATTGAAGCCGTGTCAAAGCCGTGCTGGTAAAGTACTATTATGTGATGACTTTAGACGTAATACAAAAACTTGTTTACATATAATATTACTAGGTACCTACTACGATTTATCTATGTACACGTAGGTAATTAAATTTCACGTAAATAGATAACAATTAAATATCTACTTTTATTTCAAGGGTGTAGGTATGAATCGTGAGAACTAATCGTGACTAGATATTTTTTAAATCCTTTTAATGGATTTGAAACCATAAACTTCGACACGTATCTTTTTTCCGCCATGGATAACTTGTGACGACATGTAGGTATATAGATTTCAAATAGAATGACGTCACTTTTATGTGCATAATATTATACAGGGTGTAAATAGAACGCTGCCGAAAATGGCGACACGTGATGGTAAAAAAACGAGTTTTATTTAAAAAAAGTAAGAAATTTAATTTTTCTTTTATGTAATGAGAATTGTAATCTACTGCTCAAAGTTGATGTTGCATGAATAACACGAAAATATAACATAACATCACGCCTTTTATCCCCGAAGGGGTAGGCAGAGGTGCACACAGAAGTAACATCCACTTTTCACTATTCATGTTATGAGCCCCAACCCAAGTAATAGGAGGTGAGCCTATTGCCATATACCGGGCACATTTCCAGACTATGTGCTACCACTGAGATTTTTTTTAAGCCCAGTAATACTTTGCACAACCCGGAAATCAAACCCGAGACCCCTTGCCCGGTACCACTCGGCCAACGAGGCAGTCCAACAAATTTAATAATCAGTTAAATACTTCAATACTTCAATCTGATCTCCTAACACATTGAACCACGACAGAAGGGAATGATCTCATGCCCCACTTAGTTACTGAATCACAAACCCTAGCACATCAACCTACCTCTAACCGGCAAACATCTTCAACCAAATTTTTATCTTGTCCTGAAAGTCATAAAGTTGGAAATTCATAGAAGATATTAGGCGTAGCTTGATGTGCGGTTGTACTGATCTTATGTAAGTATAAGATTAGGTAGTGCAGTCCGACCCCTAAGTTCAAGATGTGAAGATACAGGCCTCCCGCAACCCCTTATCTCATGTCAGAAGATCTTCCATTAAATATCGGCCCGATTGACGAATTCCTTCAGTTTTACGATATATTTGAGTGTGTTCGGAACGAAAGAGTATAAGTTTTGTTAGTGTTGTAGTTTGTCTATGGTCGTATGTTAACTATTTTTTGGTGTGAAAAAAGTATAGCTGGAAATATGAAAGTTTCTGTGGACACTGTAAAGGTTGGTATGACAATATAACGTAAATTAAATACAGAACTTTCTCTTTGAGATTTGAAGGTGCCTAATTTTTATTCAGGTGCTAGTAAGCCGTCTTTAACATTAAAAAAATTATTAAATCTTTGACCAAAGAGACCGCAGTTAGCGGTCTAAATAAGACAATAAATAACCTATAAAATTGACTGATCAAAATTCTTGTCCAGTTAACGATATCAAGTGTTCATGACCTTTAATTTATCGGGGCTAAAACTGAGGACACAATTATCTTGGCCGAAACTTACCTAATTGTAACAAACCCAAACAAAAAAAAAATATAATTACCATCGATTTATCGTGTAGGTATAGACAGGAACTGTGTCCCCGTCTGTAATAATACATATAACTAAATACGATGATACTATAGAAAACTGTAATTACATCAGCAGATCTTTATCTATGTGTCTACGAAAAAAAAGCGCAGCTGTCATTACACGTCATAGACGTTCCCCGCGCATTATTTTTTTTCCAATTTTGTGCAGCTCTAATAATTCTGTTTAAAACATTATTTTTTCTAATACGTTAGAAATCACTGAACCACCGTTTTAGAATTGGTTGGTAGAATTTATAAAATTTTCACTGCAAGTTACTTTTAGGATCAAAATTTTTCGCGTTTCTTGAGCGTGTCGAAGGAATTATTCTATTTTTAATAATTATGCGTATTTCGTAACACTACATAATAAATTAAGTAACTTTACGTAACACAGATAACACTAAAATTACCAAAAGTTTGTTTATATTTAGCACCGAAAGTTCAAGCGGATAAGGTCCGCGAACTCTTATCATTAGCTTATTTGTTGGCGATGCTGGCCGAAATAAAACAGACGCGAGACAGTTGAAAGTAATCAGTGTAATGTACAGTGGCATAGCATGCACCGCACCGCGCGCGCTTCTCCATAACTATTTACAATAAAGTGAGTACACGCAATGTGATATTCTTATAAAAAAAATTACGACCATAGACATAAATAACTGGCTGAAAAACTAATAGAAAATAAAAAAAAGCGCGGGAATCTCTGACTGACAGCTACATTTGAAAAAAGAATTAAAGGTTTTTTGTTTACCAACTAACTTTTCTTTAGGAGTGAAACAGTTTGATAATAAATTGAAGAAGATTACAAAATTAATTTTAAACGTAAGTAATTAAATAATTAGTTAATTCGCTATCTGTATTAGCGGCAATTCATAATATTTAATTACAGTGTTGATTGATAACTCGCAGAAACTGGGACAGTGGGTCTAATATCCAATGTGTTACTCAGAATGCTGGACTGTTGACCTTCCTGTGTAGTTTGATTAGGAAATTCTTTAATATGCAATAATTACAAAATTCGGTTAGGTATTATAAGTAACTTATTCAAAGCGTAATAGTGTTTTTAGTTTGTTATCAAAACCATAAATCCATTTTTTTAATCTTTAAAGTTACCAATAAAAAAGTTTGTGCACACTAAAAATAGTATCCGTCACTGATGTATTTTCATTGTCATATAAAATAATATTTACTGACTTTTTTCGGTAACTATATATACTTAATGTATAGTTTTAAGCTAATCAATCTAATTGTGTGTACCTACTCGTAAATCGAGACACTGTAGGCCAAGTTTATAAATAATTTTCTTTGTTAAAAAGAAGATAAAATAATGCCTAGATAATAATAATGTTATTACACGTTTGCTTTTACGACAAGACTCGAAAGTTTGCTGTCTTAAGCTATCTCGACGTATTTCAAAGGCATTACACGATATTGCGACTCAAAGGACCAGCCCTTTAAACTTAACTTATTTTCTTAAGTTACTAAAGTAAAAACATAACATAAAATCACGGCTTAAATCCCCGAAGTGGTATGCAGAGGTGCACATTATGCCAATGTACAATGTAACACCCCCCACCAACTAAAATATCAAATAATATTAAGATTATATTTAAAAAAAAATACTTCTTAACGTAGGCCCGCGGAGCACCGTAATAGACCTAGCGAAAAATGGATGATTCGATACAAAACTCTAGATACTCCACCTGTCCAGGGAATTTTGAGTGTACTTAATCTTACTATCAAGCTATCAATCAATCATTTATTATTTATAAAACATAGGTAACAAAAATACAGATCTTAAAGGTAAACAACAGTGCGCTATGTTTTGTCTATGCTAAGAATACAAATATATTTTGGACTTTAAGTTTACTTATGTGGCTTACCATAAAAAAAAAAGTTGCAATTAAAGAAAATGTCATAATTAAAAAAAAATGTCACAATTAAAAAAAATAAAGATAGTAAATAAGTAAATATTGAAGAAAAGATAAAAATAACAGAAATTCAATCATTTAAAAAATCGTCAACTGTGTAATAACATTTGTCAATTAAATTCTTTTGCAAAGTTTTCTTGACCCTGTGGACAGGTAATTGTTTTATTTGATCTGGTATTTCATTATAAATTCTAGGAGCAATACCAAAGAAGATTTTATACATTAGGGCCGTTACTGATAATATAAATGCGAAAGTTTGTGGGTTTGTGTGTATATTTGTTACTCAATCACGTCACAACGGCTGAATAACATTCGGAAAAGGGATAGATTACGGTCTGGACCAACACGTAGGCTATCTAACTTGACAGAAGCTAGTGTTATAGTAAAAACGAAACTTTTTTTATTTATTTAGTAAGGGGTTTTTATGTCGCGGAGAACCTTACGGGGCTCTGGCTTGACGTGCAGGAGAAGGAACGGGGTGGTTTTTAGTCAGTCTAACACTCCCTCCCGGCTCACCCAGGTGGGAGCATTCATTCGATGATTTTCCCCCCTTAAAAAAGGGGTTTTTATCCACATGGATATGTCAAGCCCAAAAAAACGAGACCTTAAAACTAAAAGAGCATTAACCGTTATGTCAACTTGATTAAAGACGCATTATCTAAAACTTTTTAATATACTCGTCACGTTCCAGATAGCGTACTGTTTACCTGCTCCGAAGGGTCGCAAACTCACGAGTGATGCAATTTCATAACACTGCTATCATTAGCTATCTTAGTCTTAAGGTTAAATAGTGTTAATAATCACTAAACGACCGGCCTGTTCTAAAAATATAAATAGTAGGCATGTCAACTTCAACTAACTTATAAGTGTGGGAGAGCTATGCTTCGGCACGAATGAGCTGTTCGACCGGAGTCATACCACGGCTTCATAGAAAACCGACGTGAAGCAACGCTTGCGTTGTGTTTCGTGGTGTGAGTGGGGTTATCGGAGGCTCAATAACCCCACTTCCCTTCCCTAATCTCCCTAAGCCCTGAATCGCCAATCCTCAAACTCCTAATCCCCAAAAGGCCGGTAACCCACTTGTAACGCCTTGTAGTGTTCCAGGTGTCCATGGGCGACGCCGATTGCTTACCATTAGGTGGTCCGTCTGCTTATTTACCGGCTTATGCCATAAAAAAAACCTTTCTTTTTTTTTAGTCTTTCTCTATTCATTATCCATTTTGGTTTTACATCGTCCATTCGTGTCTGAAAACTTACCTCAAGCAATGGTTATAAAAATAATGAAATTGATTACATGAAATATGATATTATATAAATAACAATGTGTTCCTGAAATTAATAAGGTACACTGATATGATAAACGGAAACATCAGTATCATCCTGGTCCTTGTGGACCGAAAGGACCACTTTAGCTAAAAGTTGGCGTAAAAGACCAGTATTTAAAATCTTCATCAACAAGAACCCGTAACACATCATCATCGTCACCATCTTTCATATAAGGCTTACCGAAATTACTATGGTAATAAGATCGCCAACGTCATCAAAGTGACGTCGAATTATCCTATGAATATACAAGAAGGCCCTAAAATTATGGAACTACGCAACACTTCGAAGTTTACAGACACTTCCACTTTTATGTGCCACGTAAAATTGAGCTGTTACCATTTAAGGGCTTGTTAACTTAATATTACACTCTAAATATCTTAATACACCTTTCTACGGGTAGACGTAAAACGGGTATTGACGTTGGCAAAAAGTCTACTAACCTTTAATGGTACCTAAAAAAACTTATCTATCGTATCTTTTGACGATCAGACTGATTGGAATATTTTTAGGATTTAATGTTGTCGTTAGTATCATTAGTATTAAAAAGGACCTAAAGTTAATTAGCAACTGTTTACAAAATCGCATATCTAATGCATAAATTATGATAACATGCAATGTTTATCTTTTATCATTCACCTATATTTTGATTTGTTAATTTTGTCACGTCGCCGCCGGTAACATCCAAAAATAAACATAATTATTATATTATCTAGATACACATAGAAAATAAGTACGTCATTGATTACGTCATTACTTCCATATATGTAGGTACAATATTGGATAATGTATCAGAGATATTATAAAATAGTATAATATAATATTTTTATAAAAGAGTAACGAATCTAGTTTCTTGTTCGTTCTTCTCCATTCAAAATTACGCTTTGTAACGAGCGATTTTTGACGTTTCAAAAGTGCCTATTTAAGATTTATTTGAAATAAATGATTTGACTTTTATTTTGATTTTGACTTTGAGTAGATATGTTAAGAATCTTCTTATGAGGCCAACAATTTGTGTGTGATCGCAATGAATTATTCGTACAATAGATATTACATTCCTTATCTTCTACTAGCGATGTTTAAAAAATAATTAAATAATTACAGCAAAAATTTAATTATCAGCATTTTAATTTTTATAGTATATAATCTTCCTTTAATTGAATTTTACATCAGTCTTTATCTGCGTTTGTACCTGTAGTCGCGGAATTGATATCATGTTTCATAATTGTAAGTAGTTTTTATTCGATTTTTTCATTAATTCATTCATAGAAATCATAAATTCGATTACTAAAGAAATAAGTTTCTCATGACACCCCCTTAATTATATAGAAACTATAAGTGATTATATAATACAACTTTGTTATTCGATCTGTTACGTAAAACCTTATAATATTGTATGAATCCTATTCTAAGTATATCATAGTCATTGCATTGATACAAAATAATAAGACACAATGTGAGCATAAAAATCTATGATTACAATCTGTACTATAAAACTAATAATCCTAATTTTTCCTCATATCATTAAAAATAATGCACAGTCAAATATATACGTAATCTATATAATATCTTATTATATATGAATTCTATTTACCTTGACATGACTAGATACTGTGAAAAACTACACAATCCCTAGAAAATTTTTATAATTATCAGCTTAATAAACAAGTTTTATAATACATTATATCATATAATTCAATGGAATATTTTTAGTTTGCCAAAGCAACTATTGAATGTAAAACCAACTTTCATGAAAACAAGATAAGGTGAAAAATTATGCTGTAATACTTCCTTGATGACTGTTTTATTAGATAAGACATCGCCAGTTAGTCATTTTATAGTCATCAGCCGTTAACTGTGGGTACAGGGTTTTGCAAATCAATTAAAATATATTTTATGATAATAACTTTTATTTTACTTCATTAATATTCAAAATTATTGCTCATTTATTTATTTTCTGTAGTCACTCGAAATCTTCTTTGAACACTATATACATACATCAAGTTTGTTTCCTAACTTGGTCCTTAGTATGGACGTAAGGACTAGAAGCTATTTAGTGTATAATTACATCTCTAGATCACCCGAAAGTTGCAGATTTTATTTCTTACACTATCCCTGAAACCCAAAAACAATTAAATGACTACACTCCTTACTACACTTGAATTAAGCAAAGACCACCTGAATCATATAACATCATAATTTTCTCTTTTCTCGTAGCAAAACTTTGTCCTTGACATTTTTAGGCCTCGAGTAGACAGAAGACGTAAATCATGGCGGCAGACAGAAAATATGAATATGACATCGTTCAAGATGTTGAGGTAACTTAAACGCTATCGTCGTTTGAAAAAAATCCGCTTTTAGCTAAAAAAATTTACACCACCGCTTTCACCGATTCTATGTTGAAATCACCTAGTGTTTGTCTTTGGGTTCATAACAAAAATATTTTTGTGCTTTCGGTTACCTATGTCTGATCAAATTCTTCAGAGAATTAATCAAGCACTTAATACAACATAATGTCGTGGTGGCCCGGAGGTTTAAGACGCCCACTTCTCATGCATGAGGGTGCGGGTTCGAAACCTACCAACGGCAAGTACCAATGTGACTTTTTCCGAGTTATATGTAGTTTCTAAGATTATTTAGACACCACTGACAAACGGTGAAGGAAAAACATCGTGAGGAAACCTGGACTTATAATTTCGAATTATAAGTTTGAGATCACCAACCCGCATTGAGCAAGCGTGGTGATTAATGCTCTGACCTTCTCCGTGTGAGAAGAGGCTTTGCTCAGCAGTGGGCATTTATAGGCTGTTGATGATGATGATGACTTAATACAACACTTCTGTTCGCGAATTCATACTTTCAAAACGTCAGGTCTGATTTTCCAAGCCCGTGAAAATTTCGGAAGCACGGGGTATGGGATCATTAATGGTGGATTTTCACTCAGCAAAACTTTCCAAAATATTATCATGAATTAGGTATCTACTTAGACTACCGACTCAAAGTTGGGTCAGGGGTGGTTTTAGGCAGTAATCATTTTTGTTAGTCTAATTCATGTTCCCCATGCGGGGTGACTCCATAATGATTCACTATGGGGAAGGTTGCTTAGGAGTTTGAATCATAGCAATATGCAAACCTCGACCACTTTTGATATTTCGGATCAAAGGACCAAGACAAGTTTGAAAAGGTACATGAGCAGTTGAGCACTATACACTTCGTTTGGCATTTATTAACCATAATATATGGTTTCATATGCTGTTGTTTCGACATATTTCGACATACTTACATTACTATTTTCTTACAGCTTCAAGAAATCGAGATGGCCATGAACGGGTCGTCAGACAAGAATGGGATGAAGGTGGATAAAACAGCCGCCTCGCTCGATGACGCTATGCTGTTATCGGGTAAGTGACATCAACATTGTTATTGTTTTTAACTAGCATTACAAAATATTTTGAAACATCTACGATAGACGTTTAAGTAAAGTAAATAAAATAAATTAATTAAGTGCTTTGTGGTTGATTATTGGGTCAATAGCACATGCAACCTTTGTCAATGTACTTTGTTTAACCACAACGGGCATTCTGGTTAACTTAATGTCAACAAAAAAATTACTCATTACATTTTTTACTAGACATAATCTATTTAATGTTTTTTCTCCACCAGTTTTGTATAGCAACTGTACCTAAAATGCCTTACCAATTAACTAAATCATTTAACCAATGATGAAGCGCTGACGTCTGGACGTGGACGCTTAACAATTATCTGCAAATTCATTAAGTCTGGTATCTTAACGATCCCCAATCATATCTGTTAAGACAAAGCCCAGCCACATAGAGTACAAGGACCATTCATTTAGAGAACATATTAATCTGAGTTTATTGTCACTAACTGAAAGATATTGAAGCAACCACATGTCATACCAAAACAACCAGTATTAAATGAACTGCTATCATTTAAGCTTTCGTAGCATTCAGGGATCAAAAGAATATAGCCCTTTTTTCTGTGATCGCTATTTTTTTCAACGAATGTTCTTCGCAAAAAGTTTTTCTAAGGACACTTTATTAATTGTGATGATAAATGTCCTCTTTTAAGTCGTTTTAATTGACTGTGGGATAACTCCTCATGGTCATTTCAATTAATAGTACAAGAGAATCAAGATGATGTGGAGATAAACATAAAGTCTATTTCATGATTGCCGTAAGTGCGACTACCGAGGACCTATTATAACATATTTGACTAAAAATAGATGTTCCAGCCGGTGGTGGTTGAAGGTCCATTGCTAGACGTAAGCGTCTTCTTTGGCCACCATCTTCTTTTACCCCTAGCTAAACATTTAAATCATCGCGCAGGTGGATAATTCTTATTACAGTTTCACATTAAAATTTTAAGATAATATAACTAAATCAAAATGACCATCGTAACAGCCTACTTTCTATTCTCCTCCTGATGAACAAACTATGCACAGATGTCAGTCAAAATATTGTTCATCATCTGGAGATTGATAAACAGAAATAATCTATTTGTGATCAGGGCCACCGACTGACCCGAACCACATTTGATAAAGACAACAAAGATCGCATGACGAAATGCTCAGCTGCAGTTGATGCTCATTTGTAGATAAACAAGTTTAGTTTAAAATACACAAACTTTAATTAGTCCTTTTTTCTTGTCAATATCCCCAACTTTCAAGAAGATTGGTTGAATAAATGAACTAAAAAAAAGAAACCAAGAAATTTAATTACAATTGTAATTCAAGTATCGGAGAGCCATGCTTCGGCACAAATGGGCCGGCACGACCAGAATGATATTACGGCTTCACAGAAAACCTAGTTGTCGAAATTCAACATTCCTTCAAGTAACTCTTTAAATTATCCTCTCATCGAAGTTTACGTTTAGTCAGGTCATTAGATTTAGTTTCTAAATAATAGGGAAAAACGTCAAAGTAGAAATAAAAAAGACCGGGTCCTATCAAGCCTCAACACTATGATTACCACCCGCAACCTATTAACACAATAAAGGCTAATAATTGTTCTATTACAAATTGAACTATTTGTCATTATCTGGAGCAATGTTCAGCATGCGGGTGAAAAATTATTAGGTTTATAAGTATCATAGACTCTTAAGGAACTGTGCATAATTTCATAGACGAAGACGATAAAGTAAAATCACAATTATTATCATACATTGCTATGTATAATAATAATAACTTTGCGACTCGACAAAGACGATAAAATAAAATGCATGATAATAATTATAATTTTACTTTGTGACTCGACGAAGGTAGAAAAAAAATTATAATTAATATCATACATAGTAATTATTATCATACGTAATAATTATTACGATTCATAGTAATGTATGATAATAATTATAATTTTACTTTGTGAAGGACGACTTTTAACATTTGATCATTTGAAGAATTAGTGGCGTTTAATTTTTTTTTTCGAATATCACGCTAATTTCTACTCAAATCAGGTAAATTGCATTAGATAGCATTGCTTATTTGCAACTTTTTAGCCTTCGACAAAAAATAAACAAAACAATATCTGGTGTTGTCAGGAGTAGGTACCTTAGGACCAAATTAGGACCACATTTTTACGCAGCACAAAGATAAAAGAACCGCAGTTCAATTCACAGTTCGTCAGTAAACGACTACGTAGTTCTTTTACGTTTTTGTAAAGTAAATATTTGTTTGGTGCGACACACATAATATGTGATGGTAGTTAAATAAACTCACTGATTAGGGAAACCCCACGTTTGATGAATATCACATGATAATAATATTTAATTAGTATTACTGCGAGTTTGTTTTATTATACAATGTTAGTGTATTTTTCTATATAGCAAACAGGAGTATGCAGGGAAATTTTATTAAACATTGTGAATCTGTACACATAGAGTAGAGTGCGCTAAAATTAAAATATTACTGGGCACACTGTAATATGCTCAAATCCTTTTGTTCTCAAAAACTTCGAAATCACAATAATAATAAACTGGATACCGTATGACCCGAGGTTGCAATTGTGGAACATTAATTAACGAAGCTCGAAGAGTCTTCAGGAACAATATCGTATTGTAAGGCTAATTTCTTAAAACACTTCTATTAAAAACAAATGTATTATTTCCTTTTAGTTTTACTAAAGTGGGTGTTACATTGCACAGTGGCATTAAGTGCCGTAATGTGCACCTCTGCCTACCTCTTCGGGGATAAAAAGGCGTGATGTTATGTATTGTATTTCCTTTTAGGTTTCGGCATATACAACATATCCCATATGTTGATGTCTGGCGTGATTCTCCTGGGCATGATCATGCAGAGTCTGGCGTTGGGCTACATCCTGCCCGCTGCGCAGTGTGACCTGGACCTGACGCTGCAGCAGCGAGGGTGGCTGTCTGCTATACCTTTCTTAGGTGAGAATTATAACTAGAAACTAAAAAGTAATAGACTCATATCAAATATTTAACATACTAAAGTCCTTCTTTAGCTTACATTTTAAACATTCTGTGTTGAAACAACTCTTGTATTTCAATTGTGGTTTCTTGATTACATCTGTGTAAAAAATCAAGTAGGTATACTATAAGTACTTGAAACTGAAACCAATAGTAATAGGTGCTATTGGTATCGAGTTTCTTATTGCACATTTTTAAATTATCATTTTTTTTTAATATAACAAAACAAAATATTGTAGATCGAATACTACTAACTGCTGAGTACTATTGTTGATCGAAGGTTGTGAAAGAATAATTAAATAACATTCATGCTAATGATAACACCACAGATATATTAAAGAAGTTTCTGTGGATATCACTAAACCCAAGTTATCCACAATAATTTCCCTTTGGTGCTAATTCTTTCCATTAAAATATTCTAGCTATAATCCTGACGTCGTACTTCTGGGGCTGGCTAGCAGACACGCAAGGCAGACGGCCAGTCATGTTGTTCTCCATGATGATATCTGCCGTATTCTCCGCGTTCGCCAGCTTCGCGCCTGACGTCATCTCCTTCGGAGTCTTGGTCTTTTTGTCCGCAATATTGTAAGTGGTTATTTCTAGAAAAACATTCTAAGAGTTTCAAAAAATCACACCTTCATTTAATAAATCACCACCTTAAATATATTTGTTTGCCATTCAAAATATGATAGACAGAAAGTACTGATTTCATCCGCTTTTTGTTAGTTTGATATGAGTACACAGATTGGATACTGAGAATTGTAGGAATCGAATAGTTAGAATTCTTTGCTCGACCTCAGTCCCAAACACGAAACTTTTAGGACCAATTGCGTTTGTCTAATTTGCGACCACCTAATCAATGAAGGCCTCGAGTATCTATAGACATCATTAAAATCAAATAGTTAAACAAAATATCATATAAACAATTTCAATGCTAGATAAGGTAAACGATAAGGTGCATCATCAAGGTAATCAACATTATAGGTAATTACTTCCTTCAACTGTTGTTATTTATGTTTTCTTAAAAATTACACCTACTAGGATATTCTATAAGATGTCAATACAAACATTCGAAGTGAGCTCGATCGCATTCTCGCCCGTCATTGTTCGAGATTACAGCGATACGATCAATGATGCGGCGGACCGCGATCGAGTTCACTTTAATCTTTCGAATTCAAAGGCACAGTCTAGCTGCAGTCTAGAAGGACAACTTATGAGGCATACTTAAGCTACATCTAGTTATGACTATCTTGCCCTTGTCCCTAAATCTCGATCTAACTTGAATACCTTGTAAGATCTCCTCGTTTTTCTATTCTCGCATATCATTGTTGCCCCAGCATAAAATCCCTTGTTTTTTTTGCTATTTTTCAAATCTTGAACTTGAACAAAAAACTTGAATCTTTCCTATTCTTTTCTTTAGAACTATATTTCATCGTATTTAAAAATCGAAACACGCTACGCAGCCGGTGACACTGCGCCTAACTTTTTTATGGTATAAGTCGGTAAACGAGCAGATGGACCACTGAAGCGTTACAAGTGCGTTACCGGCCTTTTGAGATTAGGAATTTAAGGATTGTTGGGAATTCAGGGATTGAGGAGATTGTGAAGAGCCCCCTCTCCTTAATGTTGGTTAATTAGGCCTCCGGTAACCTCACTCACACGACACGTCAGACTCTTATTGACTTCGAGCTGGAGCCCCAGAACTCGTTAAGTTATCCGCAGCTCCGGAACCTGCGCCAATTTAAGTTTTAAGTCTTAAAATAGGTACAAATCTACGTAAAATTATCACTACATTTGTTTCACGTTCCAGTATGTCAGGATCATCAGCCGTAGTGTACACGTACCTGGGCGAGTTTAACAACCTGCGCCATAGAGACAAGATGGTCGCCTTCGGATCCTCATTCGTCGGGATTGGCACCGTCATCTTGCCATGTAAGTTCATCATCTATAATAATATTAGCATTTGTAGGATTATCATTATCTTTTTCGACTCGGAAATCATCATCAATAGCCCGAAAACCTTAACTATAGAGGACCATTTAGAGGAACATAACTTTCATTCTTGGCAGACCAGTTGTAGATCGCAGATTTAACCGCTTGAATGCCAGTACATGAGACACAATAGAGAACACATTGTCTCGTAAAGATCTGCGTTTCGGCATACCACGTGTAAGGATAAGGTTTATCAGAGAGTGTTGCCCGGACTTTGTTATCTAAATAATTTGGTAGTCGCTCAGACACTGAAAATTGTATTAGCTGTTGAAGATCTTTTTTTATATACAGGGTAGAATTTTGTAATGCCATCTGAAGGGGAAGTACTCTTAATATTAATTCTATCTCAAGGATAGAATTTTTTTCCTAAAGAAAACATTCCTTTTTTTGAAAAGAAAGTAAACTGCATTTATTGTTTTTTTTTAAATTATATTGCGTCACACGGTGTTTGAACCGATTAAAATCTGTCAAAGTTTGCACCCTGTACTTTTGTGTTTTCCTTTCATTAACTTTATGAAGTTTGTTAGAGACATTTCATCCTTATTGACCCTAACAATGGATGCAATAAATGTAGGTACATGGTGCAACTTTTTCAAAAATAAAGGAAAGTTTTCTTTGAGTAAAATTTTCTATCTTAAGTTAATACTTACTACTTCTCCTTCAGGTGGCATTAGAATATTCCACCCTTTATTTGATGGGCCGATGTTTGACCACTATCTCGCCTGGTGGTAAGCGATGATACCAATTCACTCAGGCCTTGAAGATCGCATTGATCTAAAGAAAACAAAAACAGAGTACCATGGTACCCACGGTCTTTATTTTTCTTTACATATCCCTCTTATCTGCGCGTAGACGCGCAGCTACGCCTACAATTACCAAACGAGCCACACATATCTCAATTTATATTAACAGTCGACACAGTACAGGCGCCACTATTTGTTAATAATAATTAAGACTTCTTAATTAACCAGCAGGAGTACAAAAAGAAATAATTCCAACACCATTTTTGCACACGTTTATTATAAGTAGGTACACATAACATCACGCCTTTTATCTCTGAAGAGGTAAGCAGAGGTGCTCATTACGACACTTAATACCACTATAGAGGTACAATGTAACACCCACTTTTCTCTATTTATGTTATGAGTCCCATGTAATAGGGGGTGACCCTATTGCCGTATACTGGGTACAATTCCAGACTCCGTGCTACTAGTAGATACAAGATTTTTTTTTAAACTCAGTAATACTTTGCCCTTCCTGGGAATCGAACCTGAGACCCCATGCCCAGCAGTCGCACTTGCACCCACGCGGCCAACGAGGTAGTTCTTTTCTCAAAAATCCACCTTAACATTTTCAGGTGTATCCTGGCTAATTCTCCCACTGGAGTTTGCCTACCCAATCTCCATCCTGGGCATCGAATACCGTCCCTGGCGACTCCTAGTAGTGGCCTGTGCGATTCCCTTCGCTTTGGGTTCCGTACTTCTGGCCTTTGCACCAGAGAGTCCCAAGTTCCTGTTCGCAACTGGCAACTATGATGCTGCCTTGGATGTGGTGAAGAGGATCTACCATAGAAACACCAAGAAAGACGTTGACACTTTTCCTGTAAGTAATAATTCAACTAATGTCCTAAATCACCATCATCAACAACCTATAAATGCCCACTACAGAGTAAAGCCTTTTCTCACACGGACAAGGTTTGAGCATTAATCACCACGCTAGCTCAATGCGGGTTGGCGATTACAAACTTATAATTAGAAACAATAAGCCCACGTTCCCTCACTCCTTCACCGTTTGTGTCTAGATAATCTTAGAAAGTACATATAACTCGATAAAAGTCACATTGGTATTTGCCGTTGGTAAGTTTTGAACCAGCACCCTCATGCATAAGAAGCGGGCTTAAACCTCCGGGCCACCACGACATCACATCACCAACTCTCTTCCAAAATAGTACCCTCGTAAAAATATTACCGCAGTTCAAATATTTTTAAGATAGATCGCAATTTAGAACTTCATAGGTTCAACATTTCGTTTTAACTAGAAGATAACATTTTACTAACATTAATATATAAAAATTTACGAAAGATGGAAAGTGTGACGGGGATATTGAAAGGAGCGTGAAAGCGGGAAATAGTGTTAATGGTGCTTTACACTCTGTAATATCGAGTAAGATAATATCCAGCAAAGCTCGACTTGCTGTAATGCAGTGTGTATTGACACTAACGCTTATGTATGGTAGTGAATCATGGGTGTGGCAGAAGAAGCATGAAAGCCGGATTAATGTGGACTAAATTGAGTGATCGAGTGAAAAATGTGTTCTTAGAGAAAAGTGTGGATTGAAAGTGTTTGACCTTGTAACTCGACACTATCTTTATTTTTAGTTAACTACGCTATTTCGAAATTACGTACTTATTGAAGTTTAATATATTGACTTTAACTTTAAAGCAGGTTCAATGCTCTTTAACATTCATTTGTTATCTTTGTAATTATTTATCTCAATAAAAACATTCAGCTGCAATTTGCCACTGAGATAAAATAGTTATTTAGGTATGTGCAGCTACGTCGATATATCACTTAAAATAACTGTTGAAATTCAATTGATTGTTCAATAATGCATACATAACATTACGCCTTTTATCCCAGAAAGGGTAGACAGAGGTGCATATTACGGCATTTAATGCCACTGTACAATGTATGTATACCCACTTTTCACTATTTATGTTATGAGTCCCATGTAATAGGAGGTGAGTCTATTGCCATATACCGGGCACAATCCCATACTCCGTGCTACTACTGAGATTTTTAAAAACCCCAGTAATAATTTGCCCGACCCGGGAACCCTTGCCCGGCAGTCGCGCTTGTGACAACTCGGTCAACGAGGCAGGCAATTGTTCAATAATATTAAGGTCAAGAAATTATTTTTCTTGATCAATCTTCTCAACCTCTAGTTTGGGCCTCGTGACTAGATAATACCAGCATATTTCGACACGAAACTATTCAGTAATCTAAAACTAACTATATATTCTAATAATGTTTCAAATGTATGTACCTGTCGCGGAGAACCCAACGGGTAACCGGGGCTCCGGCTCGACGTGCAGGAGAAGGAACGGGGTGGTTTTTAGTCAGTAAGAGTCTGACACTCCCTTCCGCCTCACCCAGGCGGGAGCAGTCATTCGATGATTTTCCCCCCTTAAAAAAATGCATGTACCTAATATATTTGTATGTCTATCACGGCAAAACATAGTGGACTATCTTTATATGTAAGACCTTATTATGTAAACTACCTATGTTTAACAAATAAATGATTCTGATTCTGATTCTTCCAGATAAAGTCCCTGATAGTGGACCAACATACAGCTAAGACCTCAAACGTGCGAGGCCTGGCCGCCATCTGGAGCTCAATGAAGGAGCAAACAGTTCCTCTGTTCCAGCGCCCTCTCCTCGCCTGGACTGCACTCACCTGCTTCGTGCAGTTTGGGATCTTTGCCACGTAAGAATTATTATTATTGCCTTATGAATTTTTTTTTAGTTGGAGATTCAATAAAACTCAAGATTATTTGTTAACAGATGATGAATTATAAAGTTATAGACTATAGTTGTTACTGAAGAATTGGGTAGTTTCCAGGGTATCAAAATTAAAAATCTAATTAGTCCGTCTGTTAGGTAAATAAAAATATTAGACACGTATTTTTTAATTTTCTCGTATTACGTTGTAATACTTAAATAAAATGGCGCTAAGTTTAGGAGTGGGAGGTCGTTACGTCATAACGTGTTACAAAATGTGACACGCTGTGACGTCACACGATATTTCAAATTAATATATCGTCGAAAGTATTTAATTTTGTGAGAAAAGAAAAAATACGAGTCTAATGTTTTAAATTAATGCACCAGACGGACATTAAAATAAAATTTAGGAAACTATCGTATTGTTGCGAAATAAAATTAGTATGAATATCTGTAGATCGTTTTTAACCGACTTAAAAAAAAGGAGGTACTCGGTTTAACCTGCATGTATGTATGTTTGTGTGCGTTTGGCTCAACTGATTTTGATGTAGTTTGATATTGTGAAAAAAAGAGGGGGTGGAATTCGTTTTTAAACTTAGTTTTTAACTTAAAATGTCTTATATTAAAAACTATCTATAGGTGTTGGTCTAAAATGTATAATTGGGAAAATAAAACCTTTAAATTGGCTAGTTTCCTAGGTTTGAAATAAATTGTTTCAACTTTTCATTTCAATAACTAATTAAAAAATGATCATACTCTCATCCATTGATTTGACAATTTACCTACTTTTGGGTTTTTTCTCGCTAATTTTAGGGAAATAAGTATGCTATTTGACGCAGATATATGATGACGTCATAAGTTGCGATCCAATACAAAATTCATAGAAAAGTATCGTTTTTGACATTTCCATAAAAGTATTGAATTTGACTACCTGTCAACTACCGTATGCTTTCGTATAATACGTTTGTTGTATAATTTCTTATATTATATTTCGTTTATTATATTTCGTATAATAATATGTTTCGAGTTATCATGTCGAGTAAAATTAATAGTCCAAGGTAGCCTGTAACCCATTACTAGATTGAATACCTTCTCAGAAGAAAATCGTTCGTTTATGGAAATATCTATCTTCATATTCAATTTCATGTGATATAATAAAATATATATGTCCATATATATGTCCATACTTATTTGTCTACTGTTCGTTTTGCATTACGGATATATTTTAATACTTCTTCATTATATTTAATAAGTATATTATATTCTGTGATGTGTATAATTATATACGATGTTAATGTTAACTTTGATCTTAATGTTAATTATATGTAATACTTGTCAATGTATGATCAAAACTCACAAGTGGTAAACGTTTACACCTACTATTGTGTCTCTCTGCATCACCCTAAGGTTGACTGTTAGAGAATGCCACTAGGCATCAAGTCCGCCTTTGTATACCTACATGAAGTGTAAATAAATAAATAAAAAAAAAAATACTTACATTTCCAGAACGAATGGCTTCTACGTGTGGTTCCCTTCGATCCTGAACTCTCTGGCGCATCATGAGGGAGGAGAGTCCAGGATCTGTGATGTACTGGACGCTGGACGAGATGCCGTCTCCAATGGAACTATGGTGAGTTTCTACATACAATGTCATAACTTCATTTCTTCATACGTATTTCATGGAATGAAGCAAGTTATGAATAGTTATGAATAAAAGGGGCGTATTGCACAAATATTACTATACTAGCTACTTCCGCGCGGTTTCACACGCTCTGCTCAGCTCCTATTGGTCGTAGCATGATGTTTTATAGCCTATAGCCATCCTCGATAAATGCGCTATCCAACACAAAAATAATTATTCAAATCAGACTTGTAGTTACGGAGATTACCTCGTTCAAACAAACAAACAAAAAAACAATAGTATAAGATTTAAACTAGCGGACCCGACAGACGTTGTCCTGCATACTATAATATTTCAAGCGATAAGGGTATTAAAAAAGGTATGAAAGCAAAGACCAATAGCGCCATCTGGCGGGCTGATTTGTGAATCTAAACCATCCAGGGCGCTACTCAAACACATACAGAAAAAAACATTTAAATCGGTCAAGCCGTTTCGGAGGAGTTCAATGACATACACACATACAGCAGAATCAATACATAGTATAAAACAAAGTCGCTTTCTCTGTCCCTATGTCCCTTTGTATGCTTAAAAATCTTTGAAACTACGCAACGGATTTTGATGCGGTTTTTTTAATAGATAGAGTGATTCTTAAGGATGGTTTATATGTATAATACATGCAAAATATAGTAAAGAAACACTGATAAATTTAGAGGTTTCTAATGTGATGTCGTAAATCAGCACGTTTTTTTGCGCTTATATTGCACTAGCTTTCACCCGCGGCTTCGCTCGCGTCACAAAAGGATAAAAAGTAGCCTATGTGACATATATCAATACACACAGCGCCATCTATACCAATACTTTTGTTTTCCCTCGGGAATATCAAATTTTTCGGGATAAAAAGTACCCTATTATTTAATCCAGACTTCTAACTTTACGTCTGCAAAAATTCAAAGCCATCGGTTTAGTAGTAACGGCGTCAAAGCGGAACAAATAAACAAACAAACAAACTCACTTTCAGATTTTTAATAGTAAGGAAGGATACGCTGGCTGTACCTTACGAGATAGACCAAAATAATGTACTACAGTATTGACCACCTTAAAAAGTTCAACAAAAAACTCCGTGATGGTACACGTCATGCGGATAGATGAAGCGACGTGACACCAGGATAAACTGGTTTTGTTGATTGATGTGTGAATGTGTATGTGGAACAAAGCTTTTTATTGAGAAATTACTATCTGTATGTACATTTTTCCACCATTCACCCGACTGCTTCGTTGGCCGAGTGGTCGTAAGTGCAACTGCCGGGCAAGGGGTCTCGGGTTCGATTCCCGGGTCGGGCAAAGTATTACTGGGTTTTTAAATATTCTCAGTAGTAGCACGGGGTCTGGAATTGTGACCGGTATATGACAATAGGCTCACCCCCTATTACATGGGACTCAAAACATAAATAGTGAAAAGTGGGTGTTACATTGTACAGTGTTATAATGAGCACCTCTGCCTACCCCTTCGGGGATAAAAGGCGTGATGTATGTTATGTTATGTAATCCGTTTTGTCCAGATCTGTGACGACACAATCCACACATCGACATTCGAGCGTTCGATCTACATCGGCCTGGTGTTCTCCTCCATGTACATCATCGTGGGCTTCCTCGTGGACTACGTGGGCAAGAAGCCCATCCTGGTGGTGATCCTGGGCATCACTGGGGTCTGTGGGATCTGTGCCCACCTGGCCTATAACCAGCAACTGGCCGTAGTTCTGTTCGCCGTGTTCCAAATGTCGGGCGCCTGTATCGGACTCATGAATGCTGTCGCCGTTGAACTGTTCCCCACTAAATATCGGTGAGCTTTTTTGGTGTTTGGTTTATTTTGGGATATTGTTTTATTATGGGATGTAAGTAAGCCAGCAGACGGATCACCTGATGGTAAGGAATCAGCCTCGCCCATGGACAGCTGGAACACCAGAGGCGTTACAAGTACGTTACCGGCCTTTTGGGGATTAGGAATTTGAGGATTGTTGTGGATTCAGAGATTGGAATGATTTGGGTTAATTGGGCCTCTGGTAACTTCCTGTGTTGCTGTTGCGCGTGTTGAGGGCCTGTTTTTAATTTCATTATCAAAAGTGCTATTTAAAATTACTTTGATTATAGAGGTAGTATTGGAAACATAATGACGTCTTCCAGTAAAGTATAAAATCTGATTATCAGAAAGTTTAATTATTATTAGCATATTTATATTATTTGCTTCGACTGAAGAAGAAGAAAGTTTTTCTAAACATTAGTCCGATAAGTAAGGAGATAAATATGGGGGTCACCTGGAAAGCTTTCCGGGAGTTTTAAAAGTCGATAATTTTGTAGATACCACATAGCGAAATGAAAATCGTATCGAAAAAAAATTTTCAAAATTTTTAATACTCCCGGAAACCGTCAGGTATAAGCACCAAATTACTGAACTACATAATTATTATTTATTATTCATAATAATAATGACAGTTACATTATAATAATAAAATAATGATCGGTTTACAATCAGCTCAATTAGCAGGTGAGGCTGACTGATTCGACGAACAACACCAACCTTAAGAACATTTAATGAAAAAAAAAATATATGTATATGTAAATATAATAAAGAAATAATAATGATAGTTACAAGCTGTTTATGATGATGACGACTGGCGTAGCCTCTCCAACACTAATTTGGAGTTTTACGACATTTTCTTAAGTTACTGTCAGACATTTTAAGATTGTATCTATACAGGCTATAAGGAGATTTCATCAATGCCTACATACTTGCTCATCTTATCTTTACAATAACCCAATAGTGCTTGGTCCCCATTAAACTAAAGTAACACACATATATAATTTCCAGAGCAATGGCGATCTGTCTATCAATGATGATGGGTCGAGTGGGCTCCATGGTGGGCTCCAACCTCATCGGGCTGTTCCTTGAGGTCAACTGCGGAGCAGGGTTCTATCTGTTCGGCTCCATTATTATAGGTAAGGAAAGGCAATATAATAATAAAGTTTTTTTTTGTCACATCAGTAAAGGATCTTTTGAAGAGATTGGCAGAGTCGTAACTATCAATATACTATGTATAATTATGTTACATCTAAGTAGTATATGTAATATAATTATGTAAGTTTATTGTTATGTCATATACATGTAAGTTTATATAGGGATTTATTTTATAAAAGTCTTTCTTACGTACGTATACGTTCTTATATACGTCTCTTTTTTACGTATTTCTGTTGAGTCTTCTTAAATACGCTTGCTTCTTGCATCGACCATTGTTTTTGTCTCTGCATCACCCAAAGGTCTGGCTGGAGGAGAATGCCCTAGGCATTAAGCCCACCTTGTACATTAGTATGTGCATGAAGTCTTTTAAAATAAAAATAAAAAATAAAGGACCGAGAGACATATTATTTTATTGTTAGTTTATTTAATCTGAAAAAGAAATCGTCATATAGTAGTATTACAATTAAGACGTCAACAGTTTAAAGCAATGGCTTCGTAAGCTTGACTTGCTAAAACTAGACGTATGACAAACATCTGAGATCAATTTAATAACATTCTATAGCTCGCTTGACACTATAACTATCTTTGTACTATATGTATATTATCTGTGAGGTCGCCTTGTATCGGTATAATGGCATTGACATACCAAACTACACAAGTTTAAAATTGTTATATATTAAAAAAAATCATAACATCACATCTTTTTAGTGCAGATTACTGTACTGTAGGTACATATGTAGCACCCACTTTTCACTATTTATGTTATGAGTCTCATTTAATTGCCTTTTAAAGCCTATTGTCATATACCGGGAACACTTCCAGACTCCGTGCTACTACTGAGAATTAAAAAAAAATCCAATTATACTTTGCTCGACCCGAGAATCGAACCCAAGACCACTTACCCAGTAGTCGATTCTAATAATAAAATTTCTATGTTTAACCAACCCATAATTTCTTCCAGTAAACTCCCTCTTCTGCTTGACGCTACCAAACAAGAAGAGGATACCACACAAGAAGATCGTAGTAGAATCCACACAGAACGAGACCCACGAACCGGTATGAAGCGGTTACAACCAGACATATACTGGACAGAACTAGTCAATTCTGTTTACGAAGAGAGCTTAAAGGATGTGTGAACAAATTTCCCTGTAAATTAACATTGAGTATTTACTAATTAATTTTTATATAAATAACACAGTTTATATACCAAACAAATTGGTAAAAATTATATGAATAGTAATGGATTAAAGTTTGCAAGAATTGCTTGGGGCCCGGTGAAAATTCTATTTAAAACAGTCTCCTAAGTCGGACGCGAGGACTCTCATAAACAGGTCCCTTTACGCTCGGAGTAATTATCCATGGGACCCGATATCTTCCCGGCCCCATATACGCGCGGGCCCCCTTATCCTAATATATGCACGGGCCCCTCTTATCCGTGGGCCCCAGAGTAATTACTGCTCTGTCTGCGTGCTTAATCCGGCACTGAAATTATATGATTTTAGTTCCAATGTATTATATTAATACGATGTGAATTAAATTCAAACTTCATTCCAAAAGTAGTTTAATACTAATCTACTATGTATTTGCTGAATAAATGTGTTGACGACGGATATATCGTAGAATTCGTTGCCAGCAGTGCTAGCCAAATGCCATTTAGCGCTTGTCTACATGTAGAGTAGAAAACTAAATTATATGGAATTGACGTAAAATTTGACACTTGTCAGTGTCATCCCCATACATTTTGATATCTACTCTCTCTGTAGACAAGCGCTAAAGTTGCATTTGGCTAGAGGCCCTGGTTACTTCATAAACCATTCAATTGACGGCCTAGCCTGTTTAATAAATTATATTTTCTAGACATGACACCCAGACCCGGAACAACAATTTAAGAATCACACAAAGGGTTGTTCCGTGCGGGAATCGAACCCACGACACCTTACACGGCAGCTGATTGGCCCAGCCACCGCGCCAACCGTGCACTCAAATAACACAATATCAATAATATCACCATACAATACTAGTAACTGCTTATTTTTGATAGCTAGTATATGGGTAGATACTTACCAAATTCAATTCTTTTTTCGAACTGTCAAAAACGACAGTTTTCTATGAATTACGAGATTGTGTATTGGTGACGTCACATTTTTTTAGCGTCAGCATACTTATTTCGTAAAAATGTGCTGGAGAAATATTAAAATTGAGTTGGTCATAAAATCAATTAATTAATGAAAGTGTGATTGTTTTTTGATATTTTATTGTATTCAACAGTCGGAATAATTTATTTTTGATTAAAGAAAGTACCATATTGTTATAGTTCTAACCTGAGCGAACCTACCAGTCCAATAGCAACTTTAATAAAATAAACAGAAATGTTAGCCATTCAGCCAAATGGCTAATCATTCAGGCTGTCAGTTGACTACACCAAAGAGATACCATTCGAAAGTGAAATGAAAAATATGTAGATAGGTACAAAATTATTACTATTTCTAATTTATAAAATTATATTTATCACTTTAAAATTATGTATTTAGATGTAAGTAGGAAATAAATTGTAATTATGAGAATGTTATTTTGTTGTTTTTTTTTATTAAGTCGTTTGTAGCCCCTATGTGACCCCTAGAGAAGGGTAAGTGTTGGTTTAAACTAAAAGGGGTGATTAAATCTATTCCAAATGACATAGGGTGTGAATTCATAGTCTCCCCCAATGCTCCTGGTATAATGGATTCGATTACCATATCTACTGAATACCTTTTTATATTTTTTTTGTTTCTAAAAAGACGTATATTGACTCCAATAAATTACCCTGTGTATAAATAAATAAGCATCTTAAAATTAATGTTGCAATGAAAATCCATACATTTCTTACCCAATGACTTCTATAGACGATGAATCTAGTTTTTTTATTTTGGTATATTCTACGTACAAATTGTTATTTGATTATAACAATTTTGTACAGATTGTTAATTTAATAAAACGAATACATTTTAATTACATTTTTTTTATTTGCCCCTTCTAATTTCGAAATTCAAATTTAATACTCATTTATTTATTTATTCAGATAAAAAACATAAATTAAAAACTAACTATTACTTAAAAAAATTAAAACTAAATACTTAGGTATTTCGAAATACAATTAAATACTTATTTAATGTTGACAGGTACAATAAATAAATCAATTTTTAAAAATTATACTATCTAACTGTACCTACAAATTGCAAAAAAAAACAACCCACTCATTTAAAACCTTAGCCCGCACACAGGGTTGAGATAATCCTAGTCCTACCCACACACACACACACGTGTATCATTCTGTGTACATTCAGTGAAGCACTCATTCACAAGTTTAGCTAACTTGTTGAGCTGCGCAGAAAAGATGCGCAGTAACATAACCTCATACTTTACTGAAAAATTATTCATGAAAAGCGTCGCGAAGGCTTTCAAGGAGATCTTTCAGAACGGAAAACCGTGCGCCGCCCTACACAGCGGAAGTTGAAGGTATCCACTTCCTGGAAACTCGACGACGAGGGCAGGGAAATTTCAGATTTGTGGGCGCCGGTACCAGGAGATCAGAAACGTTAGGAGACCGCGTTGCCAAGGGGTGCGCGCCAAGGCTATGCACCACGCATGCGTCGAAATCTAGTATCGATTTTCTTCCACCCTCACGACTAACGCAATCACAACCCCTCTTTGGACACGAAGCTACGAATAAAATAAATATGACTCCATTTATTTAAAGTGCAAACTTATTACAATATACACAAAAAGTGTACTATTAATAATTTATTTGAATTTTGATAAACGCAATATTAATATAAAGAGTGTCAGTTATCTTTGTCACATGTTTATTAAGTGGAAGCTTCTTATATTGCATAGAATTAAATATAGCGTAAGCCTACATAATTAATTATGTTTGTCTAAGGCTCTACCATGAATACGGAAACCATTTATTGATTGTCCACACACTCATTATTGCAAAAAATAATTATACTTACAATGACAAAAATCATACATTACGTATCATTTTAATAAAGTCTTCGTAGCTCCGTAGCGACAATGTTGAGCTCGACAACTATACATACACCCTTACTTATGCTTAGGTATACTGGTCTACGTACATCACCCCCGTCGCGAGAATGGAATTTATTTAGCTCCTCGGCAGTCTGCGCGCCTAGTAAGTCAGATGTCGAGGAAAGTTCGTTGAAAAGATATCAAGCGATTTTCCAAGTGGAAGTTAATTTTTATAAGATTTTAAAATGTTCCAAGAAAATTCTTAAGAGAAAAATTTTGCAAGCACGCCTTTTGTTTTTCATGTTCTTAAAAAATAGTATACAAATCTATGCCTTCCAACAGGAAACTGCACATCCGCCCAAAGAAAACCACTATACTTGAAACTCTGCTTGGGGCCTTGGCACATGACAGTCAATGCCCCTAGTTGCGAGTCCAAACCGTTGACTGATCCGCCATTTTCGTCATTTGTACCAGGAGAGCAAATTCTACGTAGAGGTTATTGATTTTCCACGACGCGCCAGAAAGAGACGGCAAGGGCAAAGTTTTCCCTAGAGACAGAACGGGACAGAAGCTTTGTTACGGTCGCGTTCACCCCAACCCCTTTTGTGCTCAGCTGATTCCATTCACAGAGTAAGAAATGTTTGCTCAGAAAACGAATGAAGTTCACATGCAACAGGTGAATTTCAGGTATGTATAAGCGTGTATGGCATTGTATATAAAAGTCTGAGTTTATTTTTATTTCAAAGCTTTATATTTTGACAGATTTACTTTAATTGTTCATTCATCAAACCGAAGGATTACTTAGATACTTAGGTCATTTGTTTCTTTAAAATTCATCGATCTCGTAGTTCACGATGTAGGTAAATTAGCACTTTATAAAAGATGGAACTCTTATATATATATTATTGTAAATCTTATATAGTTTTTGTCAATCTTATAGTTCTAGGAGATATATTTTGCTTAGGTACTTGAGTACTTCTTATTTTGTTTCTTTTACGCGTGCTCTTATTATAAACTTTACCCTATAAACTGTCTTGGTAATTTTATTTATCGACATTTCTGTAAAATAAATTGAAACCCAAAACTCCCACGCTTCGACTTATAGAGCTGCAAAAGTTAATAAACACACTTTTAATAAAAACAAGTAGCATTTCTATAAATGCCGGTAATTCATAGATAAGATACATAATACGTATCTATGAATGATGACTTTAAAGTTCTATTTCTAGAAAATGGATAAATGATACGATATAATGATGAAAATAATGTGCATGTGACGCAATACCTAGGGAAAAATGTGAAAATACGGAAGAATCACTTAAGTAGAAATAAGAACTTTCTTGTTTTCTAGTTACGTATATTTTACGTTGTCCTACATATGACGACTGCAGCGCCATCTGGCGGGCTGATTTGTAAATCTAAACCATCCAGGGTGTGACTCAAGCGCATACAGAAAAATTCATTTAAATCGGTCAAGCCGTTTAGGAGGAGTTTAATGACATACACGCGCACAGCAGAATTATATGTATAAAAAGATGTGGTTTTTAGGATAAAATGCATAATTAATAGGAATGGTTTAAAAAAGTAAGTAATATTAAGTAGGTCCGTTTAGTTCTTTTATGGGATCAGCCGGAAAACAAGCGAGAGATTAATACCTGATGGTAAGGTAAGCAATCGGTGCCACCCATTAACACCCGATACACCAGACGCCTTACAAGTGCGTTGCCGGTTTTTTGAGGATTGTTGGGGAATCGGGGATTCGGAGATTGGGGAAACTAGGGTGAGGGTGGGTTAAGTTACTTGAAGTTTGGACAAATGCCAACCACTTTTACCACCTTAACCATTAACAATTTTGATTTATTTATACTTTTATTGCCTCATCATCTGAAAATTCATACTGAGAGAATAAAAGAGAAAGAGAGAGAGAAACGAATTCTCCCATTTTCCCAGGATAATATTTTTTCCGGAAAACATAAGACACTGTGTCCTTTTGTTACGATATATCAGACACATGAATGAAATTTTATCTAGTTCCGCTTTGCTTTATAGCACGA